ACGGCGTAATATTATCGTATTCTATAGAACATACGGCCGTATTACTGCCCCTGTTATACGGGGAAAATACGGCACGTAAAACGAGCCGTATTTGTATCGTATACGACCGTTTACTGATCGTTTTCTTCGACCGGGGTGCTACATAATCCCTAAAACGAGAGCTAACAGATTTAAAAACAAGTGACACAAAAATTTGCTTTTTAGTCTGAACGTTGATCAACATTATAAAACCATATATCATTAAAGATGAACAATTATTAATCAGATAGAGGTAAGGTGAGAAGTGCTTGTGTTTCGTCCTTTGTAGTTAGAACATAATCATATTTAATTAGCCAATTGTTTTCATTTATACCATATTTCTTTCCCATCAAAGGATCTTCTATTTTGTCTGCATTGACAATAGGACTTTTTTAAACACCGAAAACCGCACCATTCGATTCATATGGACCACCAGGAATGTGCAATGCTGTAATTAAATCATCATATATAATTTCAGGAACATGAATACAAAATGAATATGTGCTGGTCGACAAGCATGTCGATGAAGTTTTACAGGCAGTTTTCCAACGGGACCATCTGTAGGTGCAGAAGACGATATTGGTTTCACACATTTGAAAACAATTTCTCCATCATTGTTCGAAGTCAATCGACCACGCATATCGAATATATCTCGTTCTTCGTATTGATTGTCATAGAGACCATTACCATCCGTTTCGCAGACATCAATTTTAGCTCTTTCAATTGGATTGCCTTTCTTATCTTTAACTGTAGCAAGCAATATTTCCAATGACAAGTGTACACAGCAGAAGCAAAATGTACAGAACATCTGCTAGTTTTGATTTACACTCTGCTATACACTTGCCCAGAAAAACAAAGTGTACAATGTACACTTTGCTCATAGAAAACAGAGTGTATTGTACATTTTGTTTTAGATTTCCATTGGAAACACTAGTAGCAAGCACGAGACACATTTCTCCTTTGCATGGCAAAACAATACTATCACCATTTGTTATATGTTCTGCATTGTCGGTATAAAACGGTCCTAAAACAGTAGATTCCTGTTAGGACTCTCGTTTATTTCATTTTAAAAATAACTTGACTCCCACCCAGGTCGAGCAATCCGACAGTAGGCACCTATCGGAACCCATCCGATTCGACTGGAATCCAATAGGATTTTTATCGGATCCTGCCCGATCTTAGAGAATTATCGTCGGATTCCGGGTCGAGGAATCGATGTCGGATCCTCAGTGTCGGATTCCTATGAATTCCAAGGAAAAACCGTTGCATGTCATCGGAAGTTCATAGGATTCCGACACTGAGGATCCGACATCGATTCCTCTACCCGAAACCCAATAGAATTGTATCGGATTGTAGGATATTTCCAGGTTCCTCTCGGATCCGATGTCGGATCAGTCGACCTGGAATGTATAGAAAACAGGTTACCCGGCTGTAAGGAAATAATAAATATGGAACGATGAGTTCAATAATAGTTTATTATTGATATATGTATTTGTATAATATATAATTATATATTAGCGACGATATAATAAATAATAATAATAGCAGAAAAGATAGAAGGATGTTGTATATCGATCCAGAAAACATAGCAACTGGTGTGAAAACAAAATGTAACTACGCAACGGAATGGATAATCAGTCACTTGGATCAATTATATCTGACAAATGATGTAACAGATACAACAAGATTGAGAACATAAAACATATACGGTTATAAATAGTTTAGCGTCCGTTAACGACATCTACTGACGTTAACAATTCTGCCGCATGTGCTGGCTTAGGATTACTTAAGGCATCGACAAGATCACTCACTCCGAATCGGAAAATATCACTTAATAAAATAAATTCTTGGCGAATATTTGAGCACTTTTGTCTACATTCAGTTAAGAATTGAATTGTTTCGGTCAATTTTTTCATTTGTCAGTTGAGTCTCAGGTGCATATTTGTGAAGATATTCTATTAACTTTTCCATTAAGAATTTCAATCAAGGACTGCATGTTTGACTTTTTATTAACTTTACATTATTCGTAATATTTTCAATAGTTAAACTGTTGGCTTGTGAAGTTGCATTGGTAGATTTCACATTATCATTTGACATTTTTCTACAAATGAATTTATGTTACATGACTTTATCAGTTGTTAGCACAAAGATAAGAATTGAGATTGATCTTTAGGTTTCACTTTATCAACATTAAACTACATAAAAACACAAGTATTGTGCTGCACGTCTATAAACAAAAGTGATGTCGATTGCTTGTTTAATCATATGCATAATTCATTATGTATCTATTCTCGATCATCGTACCTATAAACACAGATAAAAAGATGTTTAAATTTGATTCTTACCTTTTTGTCATTAATTTGAAAAATTCAAAATACAATCTTTCTTTTCTGGATGATTATTTCAAGCGAAAGAGTGCCATCAATATACGATTATGAGATTTTATTTTTGTATTTGCCCGAGAATTTTCTAATTTTAATGTTTTGGTATTATGGAAAAAGATAATCACAGCTTCTGATACTCACACTGACAACTGTGAAAAGAAAACAATTCGCAAAGGATGCCACTTTCTACTCCGGGAATCCCATTGTTCTTTTTCTCATCATTCTTAATTTCAATCAACATAAAAAATTATAGAAATATTTACAATTATTACACCCAATAGGAGAATCGCTTTTGTCGAATTACTTGAGTGACAATGGTTCAATAGAAAAACCAGTTTAGAACTTCTATTTCTATCAATGTAGGTGAACACTATCCTATATTGAATATGATTGTCATTTCAATCTTTTCAGTATAAGAAATCATGCAATTTCAGTTGATGAGTAGTTTGTTTTCATGAAAGTGACTAGAAATTTATTAAAAAGACTCCAATAGTTTGTACAACTAAACAATAGCCAATAAACAGTTCATTTTAAATAGCATGACACAACCTGTGAAATAACAATTTTCGAGCAATCATGCACCAAACTAATTATTTGTCAGGTATTTGTTATCTAATCATCGAACGACAGCAGTGGAGACGTCCAACTAGCCAGTAGTTATCATATGATTGTTAAGATTGAAACTCAGTTAAAAATACCCCTACTTCACTAGATTTCGCTAATACAGCAGCAACTATTGAATCTGAATACAAATATTTTGCATCAAGCTTCATCGAGATGTATTCAATCAGTCGAAATATACTGTTATTTGAAAGACTTTTGATAAGACGTCGAATTATACAACAAATATTTCGCTAGCACAAAATAGTTCATTAAAATTTATATGCCAAACGAAAAGTTGATTAGAAGATCATTTTTTTAATTGTAGAAACAATTTGAATCGTTTCATATCGATACTGTACAATCGACTTATGAAGAATCAACTGAATATTGGTACTCAATAGAAACGATGATCCCGATCGATTCTATATTTTTACTTAAATCTTTCATGAATATCTTTTGCTACAAGTACCATAATTATTTGCCGATTGCTAAAAGAGATTATGTATAATTCATAGAACCTATTGTTATTATATAGGTCCCACCAAACTACATAAGCTTTTACAGAAATATATGTGATAAAAGATATGCTAGATGCGTCATGGTATAGATAAATTTACGCGTACTATCGCAATGAGAATTCCTATAAACATACGTGATAACCAATGATCACAATTAAATTTGTCAGATGCTTTTGAACGGTGCGTCATCTATCATGACGAGCAAAATATATAGCTATTTAATATTTGCAATATTTCTTGTTATTTATTCTCACATGTCTGCTTCAAAACAAGCAACCAAGCTACAAGTGAAACATTGAAAAGAAAAGAACAGAACGATTAAATACCATGCATATATTTAGAGAGGTTGTTTTTCATGGTAATATTATTTTGAAGCTCAAGAAATTCTACAAAAGAGAGAAAGAAAATAAAAAGATTCTGTTCTTCAACTGCATTACTTAGTTGTCGTATGCTGCGACTAGGCTGTACTATAACAGAGAATTTGTTTTCAACCTTGCCATTGAGTGTTTTAAATCACAATACACTATTTAACAAGATCGTGAGTATTTTTTTTTCAATATAGTCACGTATATATCTAATTTGACAATTTATACAATACAATCAATAAATGTAATTATTTTCTAAAGTTTTCTATTCACAAATAACTAAAGTTATATATGAGATATTACTAAAAATATGAAACCATTGGCAAAGTACTATCTCTAAGCTATTATTAAGACATTTCTGTATTTATTACTCTAACAAATCGAGGTGTTTGTACTGTCCGTGAGAAAAACGGGATATTTTCGGATCAAATGAAAGCTCTCGTAGCCAAACCAACAAAGTTAAAATATNTATTTTAACCTTGTTAGTTTGACTATGAGAGCTTTCATTTGATCCGAAAATATCCCGTTTTTCTCACGGACAGCACCAGCACCTCCATTGTAAGTTTAAAAAATTGTTTGCATTATTTTCAATTGAATCTAAACATTAGGTTATTTTGATTATTGATGGTTGAGAGGTTTTTAATCGAATTTTTTTCAGGCTGAATACTTCTATGTAAGTTTAAATTGTATGGTGTAATATCCACTGTAGAATATTTTCTATAGACTATCACATTTAGTATCTTGAGACGTTTGACATATGTAATATATAGAAGAATAGCGAAAATAGGAGCTATTTAAAATGAAATCATCTACATCAGCGTTTTCTGATACCATCATTCAATTATTATACATTCTATCTGGAATACATTCTACGTAACTGAATAAAACCTTGAGATGCGTCATACTGTTATCTTGTATCTAAACAATGATGTAATAGTGTTGAGTTAACATTGAACTAGACGTTGTGACCTCATAAAAGATACTGGCTGACTGCTTTCTTTCGTATCTATATATTTTTGTCTGTTCTCCCTTCCCAGGTCAAGCAATCCAACAATGGGAACCAATCCGATGCGACTTGCGTCCAGTAGGATTTTGTCAGGCCCTACAGAACTATTATCGGATTGCGGGTTCCGGATTCGAAGTTGGATCCTCAGTGTCGCATTCCTATGAATTCCAAAGAAACACCGTTGGATGTCATCGGAAGTTCAATGGGTTCCGACACCAATTCCTCGACCCGGAATCCTATCACGTTCCTATCGGATGCGGTGTGGGAATTCTTGACCTGGGTTGTTTATTTTCTTTTCTATAGGAGCGAACGACTCACACGGAATACTGAAAGGATAATTTTCTATCATGTTCGATCACTAGCTATGAAATAAAGATTCCATTGATAGTGAAAGAATTCATCATCTCTCTATTTTTATTTCAGTTATAATAATATCATTTTAACATAGCGCCTTCTATTAATAGCCGATTCTAGTTTAATCTTTTAATTTTACATTCAATTACAGTAGAATATCAAATGTTCGATAACACAGACTTTATTATAAAAGAAAAAACAGTTCGTTCACTTGATTGTAATTAATCGGATTGATATGTGAAACTTCTGTCGATTTGAGGGATGCATCATCTATATTTGTTCAAAGATATTTTGCGACAGAAACGCATAGTTAAGTATTCGATGATACGTAAACTATTCTAGTTTCTAAAATAATGACGATCGAATAATAGTATGAGCAGCGCTAGATACTTGAAGTTTAAATGATGATAGACTAAGTATGCAATTATTTGCTAATGATATTGTCTAACATATGTTAACATGATTGGCAATTTTTTTCAGCCGTATTTGGAATACAATTAGAACAAATCGACTTCCATGCCACCACCAATCTTCGAACTTGTCGTTTGCATAACATCTTCGGCACTTTTTGACTCTGTTGAATCACGTGAAATCTGGAAACGTGATGGATTTGAAGCATACAAGAAACATCAATGTGCTAATCTTATGGTACCTATGCAACCTGGCGTCGGTTATCCTCTTATTCAATCATTGTTAGCATTGAATGAAGCCGCTGGAAAACAACTAGTTGAAGTTGTACTCGTTTCTCGTAAAGATAGTGATTCTGGAGAACGAGTTCGGCAATCTATCTATCATTACAAGCTACCTATAACACGCATGTCATTTACCGGCGGTACAGATGTCACAAAGTATTTGTCGGCTTGGAAATGTGATCTTTTTCTTACTGCAGACGAAGACCAAGTACGTACGGTACTTGCAAGTAATAGTTCTGACTCATTCACAGGTATAGCAGCTGCATTAGTATGCAATATAGTCGATACAACACCAACTATTCCTCCAACTCCTGTTCCAGAATCGCCTCATCCAAAACAGTCAAACTCAAATGGTGACACTACACTATTTTCTCCTGAAGTAAATCCAATGATCAACGTTGATTTATCTTCTTCGTTAGCCGCGTTATCATGGCCAGAAGGTCAAGTTCGTATTGCTTTCGATGGCGATGGTGTACTTTTTTCAGACCAAGCAGATCGTATTTTCAAGGCAGAAGGACTTGAAGGATTTTTCGAGTTCGAACGTGAACACGGACACATTGCATTACCAAAGGGTCCTATGCAAGCATTTGCTCTCAAGTTACAAAAAGTTCGTCAATCGCTAGGCGAAACTCACAAATGGCGAGTACGAACGTTTTTGGTCACTGCTCGTAATGATATAGGCAACATAAGAGTATTTCATACGCTCAAAGAATGGAGTCTCGAAATCGATGAAACACATTTCTTAGGTGGATTAGATAAGACACCGTTCCTTCGAACAATTAATCCAGCAATTTTCTTTGACGATTCAAGGGACAATATCGATCGAGCTAAAGTTTACGTACCATCAGCACAAGTTGTTTATGGCATCAACAATGCTGATGTTAATCCTGTAGCAACATCATCGTCTATTGAAAATAAAAATGTGCAAAATGAACATTCCACGTAAAGATATCAATTCATGACGCATTTAATTTTGTTCTATCAGTTATCTTTTTAATTTTCTAGTTTTATTTAATCCATTTTTCATTCATTTTTTTTCCTGTCTCAAACTTTTATTCTCACTCTATGTCACATATTTTACTAGAGAACAAATTGAAAATAAAAAAAGCATTTTTCATACATATTTTAATAATTTCTACATATATTACATAGGAAAAGTAGGGATATAGAAGAACACAGCATATATTTTATTGTATTTAATCAGAAGCTACCGTACCCTAATCGACTCTCCCCTAACGACTCCCCGGGGAGTCCCCGTAAAATAACGAAATCCCTGGGGAGTCCCTGTCGTGAGTCCCCGGGGACTTTTTATTTGGGGGACTCCCCGGGGATTTCTCTGGGGAGAATTGATGAAACTTTTTAAAATAAAAAAAAAACTTTTTAATTTTTTTAATTTTTAAAAAATTAAGAAAAATTTATTAGTAATTAGTTATTTCATCGATTTTGACCAGATAACTCCCCGGGGAGTCCCTAGGGAGTCCCCACAAAAGAACGAAATCCCTAGGGACTCCCTGTCGTGAGTCCCCGGGGATTTGTCGGGGGACTCCCTGGGGATTCTTCTAGGGAGAGTTGACTAGAGGTAGTCAAAACAATCTGATGTTTCGATTTTTTATATATTTTTCAAACTTGATAGGATGATTGTATAGTCAAGCATGCTGTAAATTACTACATCCACGTTCTCTTTCTTTGAAAACTTGTATTAATCATCCTATCATACAATATCAATTGTCAATTATTTGAATTATTTTTTGTTTGGTGTTTTATAAATGATTTTTCACTGGTAGAGACAAAATGGAATAAGAAAAAACAATGTGAGAAACTTCATTTTCTATGAGACTAGATGATTTGTCAACAGAAAAAAGATTTCATAGATTGATATCGTTACCTGTTCTTTTCTATAATCTTACATTTCAGTGATCTTAGTCTCTTTTCTCCCGCTATTTGCATTACTGACAGTTAATCATCCATATCCAATACATGAGGTAAAGAAAAAGAAATAAAAAACTATATCGACAAAAAAGCCAGTATTGATTATCAGTCTGTGCTGTCATGCGTATCTTGCATAACACAAGAACAATAATAGTACAGTTGAGAATAAAAAGCAATTTTCACATAAGCTAGTCGAATTGAAAAAAGTGTGCATGCGAACAAGTCAGATAAATGATGATTTATCTTCAATACGGGAATAAATTCAATTTCTTTTAGACAAAAGATTGAAGAGAAGTATACTTTCTGTTACTTTACTCATTCATTTAGAAAGATGCCCGTTGTTTATGAATTTTAACTTTTTCAAACTAATCACTCGGTCTGAAAACTTGTAATACTTTTAATAATTCATCTTTCATTTCATTTAAACTCAATTTCTTTATCAGTAGTCTAAACTTTCAACTTCATAAATATTTTTTTGTGAAAACGACCTTGAAGAATTTTGATTTTTTACGTGTTAGTTTTATTTTTTTTTTCGACTATTATTCCTAAGAATAGCATTAGAATTTTGATTTTATGCATTTTTTTCAGTTTAAAAGAAAGTAGAAAATGAGATCAACATAATAATTTATGCTATTGGATTTTAGATCATTTTATAGTAAAGCGTCAAATATGGCTCAAATAAATGAAGCCGAAGGTTTATCAAATGAAGGCAATTCAAGTAAGTTTAGAATTTATTTTTAAGAGAAGATTCGATTTAATTTTGTTTAAATATTCAACTGAAATTCATCATGTCAAAATTTTGATAAAACAGAATTGATTAGAAAAGAAAATTTTTACCATCGCTTAGAAATTGGTGAAATTAGTTTTACTTGAAAATCTATCAATTTAAAAATCTAAAAGAAAAGACTAGTGTATATCATACTTTATTACTATTGAATGTTTCGTTTCGGTTGCATTTCGAAAAGTTCAACTTTCTTTTTTATTTTGATAAAAGACAGATTCATCGCTATCATAAATTTTAAGATTTCATACAAATATAATATTTTGTTGTTTGATACTGTAGAATCATCAAGCATGCCAAAACTTGAAAATGCACAGTGGATACAAGAAGGTACAACGGTTGCAGGCGGTAAAAAATGGGGTACTGGTTTAGGTGATCTCAATTTTCCATCAGGTATCGATGTCGATGATGATGAGACTGTTTATATAGCTGATTACTCGAATAATCGTGTTGTGGAATGGAAAAAAGGTGCAACAACTGGTAAAGTAGTTGCTGGTGATGGTGATCCAAGAAATCGTGTTGATCGATTGTGTCATCCAAAAGATGTAATTTATGACAAAGCTACCGATAGTTTTATAATCGCTGATGAAGGAAATAGAAGAGTAATTCGATATCCACGTCAAACTGACTTGAGTATACAAACGCTTATTCCTGGTGTAGATCCATCCGATCTAGCAATTGATAGCGATGGAAACATATATGTTTGTGATCATAAGGCGCATGAAGTAAAACGCTACAGACAAGGTGAGACTGTTGGAACAGTCGTAGCAGGTGGCAACGGAAAAGGTGTTCATCTCAATCAGCTCAGTCATCCAACCTGTATTTTCGTAGATAAAGATCATTCAGTATATGTTTCGGATTGGGGCAATCATCGAATAGTCAAGTGGGAGGAAAATGCAACAAAAGGTATCCTTATTGCAGGCGGTAATGGCTATAGCAGAGATCCAATGGCACTAGCAGATCCATTTGGAGTGTTTGTAGATGAATCAGACACTGTCTATGCTGTTGATTGGAGAAAACATCGTGTAGTGTGTTGGCCCAAAGGAGATACACAAGGTAGTGTTATTGTTGGCGAAGACAAAGATGGCAATGGATCCAATCAATTCTATCATCCTATGGATATAGCATTCGATAGACAAGGCAATCTCTATATTAGCGATTATAGTAACAATAGAGTACAAAAATTTAATAGAAACACAAATAATATTTAATAGTATTTCAAGCATGCGCATTGATGATTTCTTCTCTTTTATTAGAAGTTCTTTTTTTGTCAAAATAATAACTAAAACATTTTGTTGATAAATACAGTGTTGATTAAAACAAATACCATCGTGAGGAGGGAAGTGAGACGGAGTGGTAGATAGATAAGTTCAATCAGTTCAGATTTTTTAGGTACCAATCTTCCTGTTGTGTCCACTAGTTATACTTTATAAGCATCACTTTTCTTTTTAAAACGATTTTCAATTATATCAGCAGCACGTAAATAGTCATCAATAATTGCTTGATGACTGTCGAACTTTTCAATGAAGACAATCATATCTATATCACTAATCCATCCAGACTGATGACATCTTTGAAGTCCACTTTTTAATAAACCAACACAGGTAGCAAAATCGTGCTCGTTATTGGTTGTATCGCGGGATATACCTGTACCAACAAATATAACTGCATCGTTTAGAGCTTTTGCCTTTTTAATTTGTTGAATTTCATCGCCCATTGGTTGCGCTTCTTATTTCAACTGAAAAACAATCTGAAAGTCACAAAAGTAATACAATGAGCCCGTGAAGATGTGACTGTAAATCAGAGTTATTTCTTATATCCTGCTCGAGTCTTTTCCTCTCCTTGGTTCCATCATTCTTTAGAAAAGATCTCCTCTAATGTATATGACTGAGAATTTGACATATCAAAACTTCGTATGTGCCAATTATACAGCGTTTGATTGAAGAAGGTTTGGAAATTTCTTTTCTTCCAATCATTCATTTTACCTTTACCGGTAGTTGTTAATGCATCGATAAACTCCAAGACGAAAAACTCGTCTGACTTTTTGCTTTAGAGAAAACATCGCCATTGATTTTGAGTTCTTTGTGGCTGTCGTGAATTGCATTAAAAGTCTGCGATTATTTTGTTTTTGGTCAATATGATGGTAAAACCTGCTACGAAAGAGAAAAGACGAAAAAAAGTTGGTTTTCATGCATTAATAAAAAAAAAGTCCAAACATGTTGAGGGTGTAGATTGTTGGTTCGATTTATTCGTAACAAGACTTATTATTGGTAGCCACACACTAAGCTGAGCTCTCCTAGTCTCAAACTCTATCTTCGTTACTACTGCAATTGCTATTTACGATAATAATTTCATGAAAAAGCAGTAGATCATATTTTTATGGAACCATTGAAAAACTTTTGTTTTTAAATACCCTATGGTCGATATTTTTCTGTTGCATAAAATAATTAAAATGCAGGGTCTCTTGAAAATTATTTGTAATATCTCATGTTTTGTCTCGCTCACTTCCATATCTAAGCTTCGGGTGTGAAGGTGCGAATATGTATTTATATGATGAAGAAGAAAATAAATGAATGGAAAGCATTTTGTGCATGTCATTGTTGATATTTGTAAGATATATTTTAATGTAAAAACTGTTTATGTGCACACATCTCTTTCATGTTTATTCATAATGACAGAAATAAATTAACGAATTCTTATATCTAGAATGTGCTTTATCTGTGAAACATAGAATTTTACGTGTTGGAATCTATCGTATACATTCGTCTTTTATATTAATCCAGTAATAAAATGCGAATAGTCAGACGAAAAAAAAAGTAAAGTAAAGATGATCAATAAAAAAAAGCGTTATTTGACAATATATAGATGTAGATTTGTTGATGCTCAACTTGAAATAAGCAACCGAAGCATTCTAATCATGAGAACAGATAGTACTTTGCGGACAATATAAATATATCTAATAATAGAGCAACCGCGTGAACTCAATTGAAGAATGATAAATCTTCTAAAGAAGTTGCTTTAGACATGATGTTGTAAGTGCGGAGAATAGCAAAAGCAATCTAAATATAAAAGAAATGTGAATGAGGACAAACAACAACCGTTCCATAGACTTTTTTGTCCAACAAAGCTCCATGAATTTCATCTATCAGCAGGCCTCATTTGTAGGAAAGCTTTTTAAGGTATGATGTTGATAGCTGCGTTGATGCTCATTATTTGAAATAACTTCCAAAATATGTGAAAAAGAACATGATACCTTTAATTTATTATCTAAAAATACCTTTGATATTAGATCAGTTCTATGATGCATTCGATATAGTTGATGTATTACTATTGATACGTTGGACTTTTTTCTCATTTTCAGATTGACCACAACAACAACAATATATACTAATACCAACAATAATAAATACAATAATAGAACTACCGATGATGATCATAAAAAAAATATTTCCCGATGACTTTTTTTTAGGTTTTTTATTCATATAAAGATCTACTATTGAATTTTCGTCAAGATTAATGTCATGTGGTAATGTTTTGATTTCTTTTTCCATTTCAGCTACTGTTGGCGGTTCTGCAACACCAACCTCACAAACCGAAATCAAAGATAGATTTCTATTTTAAACACTAAATTCACTAAATTTACTTTATAATAACAAATATATGAAACATTTTGATGTTGATTATCATCGGAACATGGTTGTTGTGCAGGAACGTATCTTTCACGGCAAAGAATAGGTCGACCTTTAAACGAATAAATGTCGATTAAAAAATCGTCCTCTGTTTGTTCAGTTTTATTTATTGACAATTTTCTTGGTGGATGTTTGAAATACAATTGAAAATCATCCTCCTTCCAATGTAATTCACTAGAATCAGCTGATCCAACACGTATCAACTTTAATGGATTCTTTTTAAATGCTTTTTTCGCTTGATGTTTTATTTCAAAATAAGTTTTCTCTTCTTTTATCTTGAGTTTTTTCTTATCACATTTTATAGTTGTGTAGAGCCATTCAAGTAATGTTATATATTCAATTTGATCATCGGGTAAAAATGACTGCCAATTAGAACATTTAATATGTCCAATGGCTTCTATTGTTATATCACGTAGCACATGGCGTTCGTATGGATTGCAACGAATTATAGTCAAAGTATTTGTAAAGAAAATATCGATAGTATAGTCTTCTAAAGTTTTCTTTGAATTTTTCCAGAAACAAAATGAATAATTTATCTGAATTATAAACAGAAAAATAGAATTTAAAAGCATAAGTACAAAAATATTTACCAGGAAACAACACGCGCTACTTTCTTCTAAAAGATTCTCTATTGGCTCCTCTTTATTCTTTTTAGACGAAGTTTTATTCTTTCAATCTAGGGTATGAGTTCGCCCAGAGAAATTCTATTTTCTTTTGCGTCAATATGAACGTGACTAGAATAAAAGAAAAGAAAATTATACATGAATAAATCATCTTTGATGATAAAGATATATGAATCATATCGTAGATGGAGCGTAACAGGTTCACTTGATTACCTTTGCTGATTACAATCATTAGTAAACGTTTTTTTTTTATATATTGATATCATGCTCGTAGCATATGTGAGTGTAAAAAAACATACTGAGGGAAATCAAGGGCATTTTTCAATATGGTAATTTTTCTCTAAAAAAAAACTAAATTGAAAAACTTTTCTACTCATTATTTTCATTTTTATTGTAGGACGCACGAATGTTGTATTCACCTATGCATACAAGTGTAACTATAGATAAATGATATTTAAATACTTTTGATTTTATAGGTTGAGAAACAGATATTGGATAACGGTAAATTTTTATTGCTCGATCGGATGGCAAAAGTTATTCTACGATAACAATAAAATAACAACAATCTCTTGTTTGATTTATTGTAATAGATAGATATTTTTAATGATCTTCATGATAACAACAATTTACGTCATATCTGCTGTATGCATTAGTCAGAAGATAAGCATAAAAATCGATAAAAAGAATATCTTAGTAATGGACGTTTCGATACTGTTGCACTTTATATGTACATAAATGATCTGTTTATGACTGATTCTCAATCCAACATGAAGATCGTTTGTGTGTATTAAGATATAAATATAGAATTTTGACATTTAGAAATGTCAAAACCGGTACCATCTGTGACCAACTCGAAAAAAAACAATGTACATTGAATTTTGTTTTTCGAGACTAATTGCAATTCAAACAAATTTGTTCTTTATTTCCTAGCTATTAGTGTAAATTGATGGTTGAGCGCCAAAGGGAAATAAATATTCATATCTTTTTATGATTTCCAATAGCTGTTTAATCAATCCAGTTATAAGACTACTTCTAATTCAAGCTATTCTATCGATGATCAATTATTTGGTATGAGTAGCATCGATCAAAAGTATTAAATAAATCGTACCGACAGTTCTAAATTATTATTCACAACTATGCATTGAAGGTCAATGTTAGCAACTGCTTGCTAGAGAATTAATTGCGCCATAAGGCTCATACGCAAGTGAAGTCATTATTGAATGAACATCAGCTGTAACTATAAGAAAACTCGATTATCATTTGCAGATATAATCAACATCTTCTTTTCTTTAGAATTTCTGTTGACATTACCTTTCGATAGATTCGAACAAAAGTTGAATCATTAATGATTGCTTTCAGACAATAGAATCAAGAAGGTTAATGAAGCAAGACTGACATGTCGAGATAGAATACTCAATTTTGAATTATTACAAGCTCTGCCTACCACAGTATACATTCTGTATTCCATTCAAACTGTTTTTCTTCTCTTGATAAGATAGCATCCACCGGGAAAATTTCGTATTCTAAACTGGTCATGGCAAGTACCCATTATATGCTATTGCTTAACCTCACTGCTTTTTATTTATATTCAAAATTATTTTCTCGATGTTAATATCAACTCTATATACTTTCATGAAAACTACTGTCTATTGAAGTAATTTTCTTCGACAACATATTTGTACTTCCTAACCTATTTCAGATCCCTGATATTATGTGAAAGCTTTGTTCAATGATATTCTTATCAGTTGAAGTCTTATTTTTCGACTCTCATAATGAAATATAACTAATCGAAATATTGAATTATTTTTCTTGAGTTTAAGTATTAAAATGATCAAATTTTTATATTAAAATCTTCGATATTTGAACTGATGTCGCCACTTACTCACTGATCCATTAGCTGAGCCGCTGACGAATTATTTCAGTTTCATTGGAAATAACAATACTTATTTTGATTGAAACATTCTTTTTATGTAAATACTATTTTCAATATATATAACTATATATTATTCAAAACATAAACGCTAGGACTTTTCTTATTATTGACAATAGCTATTGAATAATATGTACCATGCCTTTATGGTATTATGATAAAAAAGAAATAAAATCTACACCATCTATACAAGATGGTGTTGATCAAGAAACTGAACAACGTTATCGACGCGAAGGTTGTCGTTTCATTCTTGATCTTGGTATTCGACTTGGCTTGTAAGTATCATATATTTAATTGTTAATTCAAATTTACTTTTTTTTCTTCTTCTATTCAATATAGACGATCAGAAACAATGGGTACGGGAGCCGTATTTTTTCATCGATTTTATATGTTTCATTCATTCAAACAATATCCACGATACGTAAGTTGATTTCAATATCATAAGTTCCGGTTTGGAAATCTTTTTTTTTGCTCAGGCAATGGCAACATGTTGTTTATTTCTATCCGGTAAAGTTGAAGAAACACCAAAAAAAATTCGTGATATTATGAAAACAGCACGCCAAATACTTGAAGGACCTCGTGAACGTTATATTCCAACATTAGGCGATGAAAAAGGAGATTTAATCTTACAATATGAACGCATTTTATTACCGACTGTTAAATTTGACTTTTGTATCGCAAGTCCGTATTCGTTTCTTAAACAATACGCAAAGACAATTGTCGGCGATAAAGAACAAATACGGCAAATGTTTCAAATGGCTTGGACATTTGTTAACGATAGGTATTTTCACGTACAATTTTTGATGGTAAAAAAATAAGTATATTCTTTTCGTTGTATTTTAGTTATTGTACAACATTATGTCTACAATGGGAGCCAGAAATTATTGCAATAGCTGTGTTATATCTTGCTTGTAAATTATCAAAATTTGAAATAACAGATTGGACGACAAAAAAAGAAAATAGTAAACAGAAATGGTGGGAACAATTTGTTGACGGCTTAACAAAAGACATTATTGAAGGTTAGATTTGTTTTATTTTCAAAGATACAAAAAAGTCAACAGTATATTTTTTTTTCTTCTAGATATTTGCCATCAACATTTGGATCTTTACTCAAAAAATAGTTTAGCAGCTGCAGCAGCAGGCAATGGTACGATGATGAATCCATCAGTGATGCTTACACCAACCCAAACAAATTCTACTGTAACATCACCTATACAACCTATTGCTATTGAATCACCGTCGACAGCACGATCTATTCCATCGACTAAACGAGTAAGTCAAATGGATATGACTAAAAGCAAAGAAAGAGAACTGATTTGGAAGAATACGATGTGGTTTTTGCTTGATTAAGTATTTAATCAAAAATAAACTTTAGGCACGAGTTGATGATGAATCCAATTATCGATCTTCACGAAATAATCATCATCATCATCATTCATCAAGTGTAGGCGGTACTCAAGCAAATCCTTCTGGTTCATCTTCAACATCTTATCATCATGTATGTTTTAAATTTTTTTCCGATCTATGAAATATATTTTACTTTTCATAATCATTAAGTCATTGTCACATGATGAATCATCTCGACGATCATTAACTGCACCGCCTCCACCACCACCACCGCCGCCGCCACCTCCTCCTCCACCGCCACTTCCACCTCCTCAATCGGCTGTCGTGCCACCGCCGTCTCATCAAAACTTTTACATGAGACCGCCGATGCCGCCACCAATGCCTCCGTAAATAATTTAATCAAAAGTCAAATAAAATTTCTATTTTTTATTTTTGTTTTCAACATGTAGTATGCCACCAGCTATGTTTGCACAATCACTTCGCGGTCAAATACCATCCAGTAATCCATGGCCACCACCACCACCTCTACCGCCAATGTAGTGTTGCTGTTGTTTTTGTTTTTGTTGTTGATTGTCATATTATTTCTGTTACACATATATATATAATGAAATGTGAAATCTTGTTTTTCTTTTCTTTTTTTTTTTCAAACTTATATTCAATCGCGATATAACATCGGCAGACATGTGTTTTGTCTATTTCAGATCTGTATGTATCATGTCACATTATCACGTTTTTTATTTGAACTATTCGGAGTTGCTGCCATGTTGTTCAATTGTGAAAATGCCTCCTGATCGTGCTAGGCAATAGAGATACTATACTGCAATATCGGTATATACTATGACTTTCTTTGCATTTTTTTTCTACAAACTACTAATTATGTTGTTTCTTTTTACTGTAGGTCGTACTGATTCTAACACCAATTGAAGGTATAATAAAGTAATTTGATTTAGATATACGTATATATCATCATCTAAAAAATAGCAATATATGTTAATCTATCTACACTATAGATATGCAGCATGGAGTTAAGCTTAAATTCTGATGATAAGGATTATTAGATAAAAAAACAAAATATGTCAGAATAGAGATTGTTTCGATCAGTAGTATAGATTATAGTTGAATGATTCTCTTGTTTCGAATCAGTTATGTTATCAATCAAAAGGTAATTCGTAACAGTATTTTTAATGCTAGGCGAACAAAGGCGGGCATAGTTTTCTACAGCGTCGACGTGTGTTGAATCTCTAATCTGAACGCTTAAAGTATAGACACAATTCATTGTCGTTTAAGCTCAGTATATTTTATCACTGTTTGAAACAAAAAGACTTCTTATGTAATATTTCAATCAACCTTCGAACCAACTAATCCAACGAGGAGTATGTTCAGTTTTAACTAGTCGTTATTTAAATGGCCTTTTTTCTTATTTTACTATTCGAATAGTCAAACTTTATTTATATTTATCACACACTTAAATACAAAGAAGAAGAAAAAATTGATGGAAATTTATGTGAGAATAATGTCTGTCATCAACATTAAAGGATGATTTAATGTTATATATTCAAGTACATAGATGTATGTTGTATTTCTATCACTCGTTCTTTTTCTTTTTCTTTTTTTTTTTGTATGAATACTTTCTAATCTACTATTCTTTCTACGGTGATGATTTGGTATTGAAAATAACGATGAACGATCGAGTCAATATTTGTTAAAGCAATATAAACGAGTTATTGTTCCGTCAGTCTGATTATTTCTGGGAGGCAAAAAGAATGCGCTGTTTCTCGTGCAATCGTTCATAGGAAACCTTATTCTTTAGAGAATTTGTCCTTATCTTGACATTTAGTGAACAAGATAAAATTCACTCCCTCATGAAATCAAAATAAAAAGAGCAAAGAGAAATACATATGTTGATTAATAGTTGTCATCAGCTGAATGCTTTTGTTAGCAACCATTCTAGTTTTAAGATAAAATAAAATAAATATGATGAATATTTTATTTTTAATCAAGAAAGACATTTAGAAATTAGTTTATTTCAGCGCAAGAACTTCTCTCGAGGGATTTCCCCCTCGTGTAATTATTTTTATTGAAATCGAAGAAAAATAGAAAAACCAGTTAGACAGTTAACTTCTCACTTTGTATTTTTTGTTGTTGTTCGTTTGTTGTAGCAAAACAAAAAAGTCTGATTCAAGCATCAGTTTCGTGTATCCATAGAAAAAAAAACTTATTCGTGCTCATTGGATTTCTTTTAAATGTAGAATAATCAAAACAAGAAATGAACTATGCCGATGTTAACGGACGCATGATAGTCGTCTATTTTCTAGCAAATTAAGTCAACATTGTTTCTATTCTTAGATATTATAAGGCAAAAAAGCACACGATATTATTTGCATAGCAACATCTGAGAAAGAAAAAAAGAAAAGACAAAACAATCTTATATTAAAGACGACATAACATTTTGACTATTCCGTTTTTGCTATATATGAAGAGAAATAGATGCAGATATTAACGGTCTTTTTTGTCATCTATATTAATCAAATCAATGATAACGTCATTTAATTTGATTAAAACATGGCATCCAGAACTAATCTGTATTTTTTTGGCAAGTAAAAACTAACCTCTCCTCTATCATGACAGTCAGACATTGTTTTAATCATAGATCAGACTTTGATCTAATTTCATACTTATATCACGATAGTACATTTTATGAATTAATGATAAATATGAAAAGAAATTTTTTTGTCAGTTTCATGGACTAATCATTAATTTTCGCCTATATTACATAATCAAATAAACAAACTAATATGTACAAATTTTGAGACGTGAAATAAAAGAAAAAAAAGCAGCTATTCATAGTAAACTTCGTATATTTGATATTTACCAATTTTTCTTGTTCGTCAATACTAAACAAAGATTGGTTTGTGTATAGAGTTTATTCTATGTTTACTATCTCTAATTTAATCTGGCTCACTCAGACGTGAGCGATGAGTTTGCTGGATAAAATATCTCATACGAAAATAAGGTTTACTTGATATTTGAAACTGTCTCTCAAAAAACGATGCTTAGTGTGTCAACACTGCAAAAAGCTTCGTTTTTCTAAGTTTATCAAATATCAACGATTGTAGTACTTGAACTTTCAAATAAGACAAATCTCTTAGGTTTTTATTTCATAAAAAAAAGAACTGCATTCGCTATTCAATATATATATAATTTATTATCAAATTATCATTATGACATCTGAATGTTCTCGTATACATTTGACATTGTTTTGAAGTGCATAGCGATAGTACAAAGCATAAAAAACACAACCTTGAAATATTCATGTATTTATATATATATCATAGCGACCAGCTGGTCAATCTATAGCTCTAGATGTATGTGCACACTATTACTGTTTCATCGTTTTACTCTTTCTTTTGCTTCTAGTCTCCCACTTTCTCTCTCTTCTCTCATACACATCTTCGTCTTTTATAACACACACACACACACGCAGAGAGAGAGAGAGAGAGAGACAGAGTGCGCGCGTGTTGTTCGCTTACTTGGCTGCTTTTTTGCCTTCGCGCCCTTAGACAGACGAAAAAAAAGAGAAGAAAAAAAGGTGTTTCATCCACATACATAACATGCACACAATAAGCAAGTTTAAGAGACATGAAATATGAAGAGTACATGTAAGAAAAAAACCTAATAACAAAACAATATTGAACTTTAAATTCACGTAAGATACTAAGCACTATTTAATCATTCATTAGTTTTTATTTATCATAATAAACTGGACATAAGAACAACATTGTGTTGCTAGCTTATTAACATTTATTTATTCGTTGTTACATCGATCATCTGGTAGAGAAAGAAAAAGAAAAAGCCTAGAGAGAAAAGAATTGAGTACAAGAAAGAGAATGAAAAAGTATGATTTCTCATATGGTAATCATCTATCGCGAACCTACATCGAGTAGAGTAGTAGCTCCTATATAGCAAGAAAAAATAGAAGAGAAGGAATGGACAAACCACAGCCTACTAGTGTTGTTTGTCGTATATCCATCTAACAAGATCGCTATAGACTATTATTCTACATAACCATGCATTCCTATATGTACATTTTTCTTTTCAGGCACGATCGATTTAGCATTTTAATAAAACAACCTTCAACTTCATTCTTCAATATTTAGCATTTTCTACGATTGTTTTCTATTTGTTTACCATCAATTGATCTCTATTGAAACGGTAAAGTCTTTTTCATTAAAGCAAAATACATGAAATCAGTCCTGTTAATAAATAACTATCATCTGGTGCATAAATATCATAGCGCTGATAGTGAAATGTATCTATTGTTGACGAGTAAGAGGAAGAAGCAGAAGAGAAAATACAAAAAAGTACAGCCTTAAGCGAACCGTTTCTTCTTCTTCTTCTTGTACCTAGTATCCACTCCTTCGAACATTTATGATGAAACCAGAATATATTTTGTTATTGTTTTGTTTTTCTCTCTAGTCGCCGGCGAATAACAATATATATTATATATAGACTATTATTTTTCGGATAAAGGACAAAACATCTTTATTTTGTGTTCATGCACGGACAGTTTATAGGCAATTTTCTTTCTCTTCGTTATTCTATAGGTGTATACCTATTTCGTCTACATTCTGCAAACACAGCTGGTAGCTGTCAATTCGAATATAATTGTAGACTTCTGTTTTCACTTTGATGTTTCTATTGATAGTAAAATTTGCTTTCTTCTTTTTTTTTGTACAATGCAAAACCAAAAGGGAGCAAACAGCTTCTATTCAATTCATTTAAGCAACCATTGACTTCGAACAAAAGAAAGATATAATTGCTTGTTGAAGATAATAAAACTTTGCAATTATTGAATTATGTAAATCTGAGTTTGATATTCAACAAATTGCTTGAATTTCACAATCTATTACATGTAAAATTAATCTCAGATTCATCGTCATAAATCAGTCGTAGTATTTTTTTATAAACGCGAAAACCATTTCAAATTCGTTTCTTATTACCCTTGAACCTTGACAACAACTTGTATGGATATCTTTTAGATGTACTTTATCACCAGTATAAAGAATAACGAAAACAAAATGTCTTCACTGTTACATCTCAAGGGCAATTTTCGACCATGTGAGCAAATGACTGTAGTAGAATAGAGAGAAAAAGAAATCAAATGTAATTTTAATGTCGTTCTATCTGGACGACGAAAACGTAAGGGAGATAAATACTGTCCCACTAATTGGAGATTGTATTTGTATTAAAATGGAAAGGATCGTTCAGTCAGCCGACGACAATAGTATTCTCTATCGTCGACATCGTTGCCCATATGAAAAGAAGAGAAAAGGGAAACACATAAAGAAAAATCTGCTGATGCGGTTGACGGTGTGCCGAACGAAGAATGATGTGTTTGTTACGACGAGTGCACGTAACAACGACGAGAGTGTCTAGTGTATGTTGTCTCTCTCTCTCTCTCTCTGTCACTCTATCATCGAATGGATGTAAGGCAGTGTCTTATATGCATTTGCACACTCACACCAGTTTTTCTTTCTCTTTCTTTCTCATTTGTTCATCTTATTAATATACTAAATTTATTCTTTCTAGCATTAATTTAATCGGCCGAAGACAACAATGAATGATGGAACATTTTGAATTGATAATGACCATCTTCTACACAGGTGAGAGCATAAGTAATAATCATAAGAAGAGAGAGAGAGAGAGAGGAAAGGCAAAATAATCGATTTATACCAGTTGTTTTTTTGCTCTTATATTATAACTGGAACAACCATGTCTAGTAAAGTAAAGACAGGAAAGAAATATGAGTGCACGAACGGCAGAAAAAAAAGAAAATTGCTCGATCAATTTAACAGAAACCACATAGGATTCTTAAACAGAAAAAAGTTAAAAATAGCAAGCAAAAAGAAATAGAATCTAGGAAAATAACAACGTTAGTTGTTCCTATTCAATACTCGACTGCTTATATTTACGATGAATGACAAATTATATTCATCAGGAGTAGATGATTTTACTCGATCGAAGATATATTTTGTTTTCAATGCATAACGATGAATATTATTTGATTTGACGCTTGTTTTTTATTATCGATTCGAGCGCATATATATATATATATATATATATATATATATTCGAACTAGTTCGTAAACAAAAAGAAGCAAATAGAGTTAAGTGTTTAATGAAAAATATGAGTCTCTAAGGGGCTATATTCTTTTTTTAAGACACCCCCATTCGAGAAAGTAGACAGATGGCTTTCTCTCTCTCTCTCTCTCTCTCAATCAATACAACACATGACTTGTGGATCAATGGAGATATTAACTAATTATGATAGAATCTTTTCGTAGAAAAATTTGCTTTATTGAATAGTCAAGAATTGTATTCGGTTTTTTAATTGATTGATATTCATAACAGCATAAAGTTAGTCTTGTTTTTTTCTATCAAAAAATAAAAAGCATGGTCAATTGACATGAAAGTAAATAATTCAAGTTGATAGTCGTAATAGTAAAGAGTTAGTTGTTGTTCTTATCAAATTTGTTTGATTTGGTTATACTATGCTTTTATTGTTTGTAAGCCTATGCAGTTTTCTTTTTGATAGTAGAATACAAACAGACTAAAATTAAATTGATTTTGCCCTGTCAAAATTGAAGTGAACGCAAACGTAATACCCTATCGATTATGTTTCATGGCAAGTATTGATAATCGTTTCGATTCGTGTACTTGTTCAAAATGAATAGTCTTTCATTTTTCGAATGTTAATTTAACCTAAGGTTATTATTGTTCGATAGTGAGTGTCAACGAAAGAATATTTTGTTGTAGTTTGTCGTGATGTTAAAATTGATATCTAATGTTAATTTCTATAATTAACTTTCAGTGAATTATTGAACAATGTAGCTTGCGTGATATTCTGCAGTTGAAATATATGAGAATAATTTTTATCCGTTCGAATTACTTACCGTTTGATGAAAACAACGTACACATTGCTTGTGTTTATTGTTTATATAATTCAATAGAAATTACGATGTCCATTAAAACCTATTGTCTATTTAGATAATTCATTTCAATTACGGAATGCTATATATCTTTAATGAAATTTCCACTGTCAGCAATGGTTTTCGATACTTCATCACCACCGGCTAGTTCATCTTCAACCAATCGAATTCTTTCACTCAATCGTATGTTTAAATCACCACATGCATCAACTGGCGATCTTCCATTGTCCGATGAGCGTGATTTATCACAAATTGAAGCTGCTAATAAGCATCAACAGCAGCAGCAGCAGCCATCGAAATGGAAGATGATGTCGAAACGTCGGCAAAGTTGTGCAAATGATATGTACACAACAGCAAGTCGTTATCATCGATCAAAACCGCCGCTGCCACCGCCGACATTAAATAATTTATCGACCTTGGATGAAACATTAACATCTGTATCACCGTCTTTTTATAATTATGAAAAATTTCATGGTAAATTATATTCCGATGATATGAAATATTTTTCAAATCAATCAGCATTAATAACAACACGTCGTTCAACAACTGACTGTAATGATTTAAAAAATATGCATAGACGAAGATTGGAACAAACAAACAATACATTATTAACAATCGTTGATGAAGAATCGAGAGATACCATCTGGTTACCTTCAGGTAAAAGAAAAATTTTTACTTTCTCATCGAGTTATTTTTCTTTTTTTCACTGTGTGTTTCGTAAATTTGAGAAGCAGTAAACGAGAGGATTAATGTCTCTTGAGAATTCTCTGGTGAAGTGGTGCATAGCAATTTCTATTGATTGTCATGTTCTTCGTTAATATACGCCCAAACTCGGATTAAAAGAGAAACTAATGCTAAGACTCGCGCGAAATACAACATCAGTGTTGTATTCAGATGCTTAACAATCGAGTGGTAAGAAACAATGACATTTCAATAAAAAATAGACATCCATTGATAACGCGAGTCGTCAATGTATGCAGTTGCACACAATTTTATACACACTCAAATTTCGTACTTATTTTATCATTCATCAATGATTCTGTTAATTAAAATTACATAACTCATTGTGTTAGTCCATCAACAATTATTCGAACAGAATATCGATCTACAGAATAAACATGTACGAAAACAAAAACGAGTCGAGAATTTTGATAGGAATTCAGTGAAAACTTATCTATGCAACGAAAAAAAAGCCCCTCGAGGTTCTATTCAAGTGCACTATTCAGAATAATATAAGCAATTCATATCGAACTCTTCATTCAAATCTGAAAAAAATGTGTTTTTATTTTAGACGATCATCATTTATTGCCGCCAACATCAAGGTCTGCACATACTCCTGACACATCTCTATCAATGTACTATTCGGATTCATCAATGAATTCAAGTCTGTTGATTTCGTCTTTCAATTCAAATTCGAACAGTAATGATCTTCACGAAACATCATCTCAATATTCCTCGTCTACTTCATTATTTAATGATTCATCTGAAACTCCGAAAACTGATTCATTATCGTCATCATCTGGCTATGAATCGAACGTTACAACATTGAATTCGTCAATAAGCTCACTACCTGATAGTTTATTTCTTACGTCACCCGATTCGATCATAATGCCTCCACCACCGGTTCCATCTCCCAAACTACCGAACAATTCCGATCGTAATCTAGTTGAACAATTTATTGATTTACATCTTCAAAAACAGACTTCTTTTTATCAAGATGCTAGTTATTCACCTCCATCATCTCTAAGTTCATCATCGAGTTCATTCCTATCTCAAACACCGATATCAACCAAGCATACACCTATTTGTTGTCGGAAATGTGTAAACAACGACGAAGATAAAAATCAACTATCAAGTGACACTGAAGATGATTCGCAATCAACAACAATCGCAACGAATTCGCTACCGTCACAACAACAGCAGCAGCAGCAAAACAAACGACCAAGAAGTTTACCAATAGCAATACAACAACCGAAAGGTATCACAGTCGATAATAACAACAATAATAACGACGATACTGCTGAAGGCGACGACGACGACGACGAGTATGCAGAATTTGATAATAGTTTACAGGACTCTCTTACTTGTCATTGTTCAATAAGTTCATCGCGAAAAAAACGTTTTCGAACATGTGAATTCAATCAACAACCGATATTTAATACAGCGGGGTCAGCAAATGGTTTGTTTTCCGACAATAATCAATTAACAACAGCAACAACAACAACAACAACAACGAGTGATAAATTACATATTGATTTAAAAGATATTGATCATAAAAATAATAACGAGCCGTCAACAATAAAACAACAGAAAAATTCTTTAGATCATTTTATTATGAGTCCAACCGATAAAGTTAAAGTACCAATGAAATACCCATCTATTAATAATGATAAAGGAAGTGATATCAAAAGTGTAAGTAGTTTTCTAGAATGATATGACAAACAGTTTTTCTTTTTCTTTTTCTTTTTTTTATTGTCGATTAAAACTGATTTAATATTTTCGAATATTTCTTAGATAAGACTTTAAAAAAAAGAAAACATGATCTTTTCACATAACTAATCAATTGTAAAAACAAATCTACTAACGAGAAAAGAGTCCCTAGTGTGAACTTTCATTTCCTATCGGCTTTATGATATTAAGCAGAACACAATAGGTCAATCATACAATCGGATACAGCATCCTTCTTCGTCAACTGTTGGTAAAAGTGTTAGGTCATTATAAACTTCAGAAAAATAGATAGGAAATTTTAATTTATTTCATCACATTCAACGAAAAAGGTGTAACATTGAATGTGCTTTAATTAATTATAGACATACAATGGGAAGAATCTCCTATGTCACCGAGCTCCAAAAAAATATCATAAAGCCAATTGGAATTGGATCATCACACTTAAGGATCTTCTTTCGAATTTGATTTGACCTGAAATGTCTGAGTCAAGTCATGTTCTAAATTTTCTATCGTTTTAATAGATTACGTAAGTTTGTTCATAAGCTAGTCTTATTTTCAATATCGATAAATAAAAAGAAAAACAATCATGATGACAGGTGAAAAATGTCTTGAATTTTTTTAGAATGAACTGAAAATTTCTCAGCCTGAAGATATTGATTTTAAAAGATCAAAACAAAAAGCTATTCGTGTGCTTTATCAAAATCGACTTAATCTCAACAGTATTCGAACTCCGGTGCCACGTCAAGTAAGATTCGTATTCAAATAATTTTTTATTAGAATATTTTTGTTTTTTTCAAGACTCCAAAGATATTTCCATTGAGAACAGCAACATGCCATGGAGATTCTCCATTGGCTAAACGAACGAGTAATCCACGCCTATTAAGAAGGTAAAGCAATTATATGATTTTGACGAAATACAGACTTCTATTTCGTTATTATGATTATTCTAGTGTTTTATCGTGCAGTGCATTTGAAACTGATGATGAACATGAAGTAGTTTCATCGACAACTATTGCTAATCAAGCCGGTGTTAATGGGGCACGTGAAAAGTCCTATATTGAAACATTCAATAGTTTACGTGGCAATTTCACTGTAAATTAAACTCTTCCTTTCGTTTTCGTTTTCATATTGAATTACTCTTTTTTTAAAGGAATCGTTATTAAATGGAAAAATTCTTCCGTGTGATATACTTGATGGTTTTACAGTTAAATTAGGTGCAAGTGGACTTTTTATGCCTAAACAAGTAGTGTTACCAGTGACTACGTTTTGGTTTAATGTATCGGAACATCAGGCAGCATCGCCTTATCTCGTTTGTAGAAAATTCTCATTCGATCTAATCTAATCGTATTTTTTGTCCGTAGGGTTTCATTAATTTGCAATGTCTACCAAAACGTGGTTATCATGCTCCGACCAAAGGCACGATAACCTTAGCTTTATTGAATCCAAATGGAACAGCTATACATTTATTTTTAATATTATATGATTTAAGTGATATGCCACCTGATCATCGAACATTTATACGTCAACGAATTGTTCTTATGCCAGAAAATGCCGGTGATGGTACAAAAAAACCTGAAAAAACATCTTCATCAAAAGGAAATCTCAGATATTTAGCTCATATTCGGTATGAAATATTATTTGACATTCAATTGTTTAGATTTTCTATTATGTTTTACAGATTCGTAACATCACAAACGGGTAAATTATATATGCATTCCGATATACGATTAATATTTGCACGTAATAAACTTGATTATGATGATCGAACAGCTGGCGGAAAAGCACAACTAGTGACATTAACAGATATACCAACGCCGAAATATTGGTCACGTAAATAGGGCAATAGAAACTCAAAAACAGTTCTTACTGTATTTATATTTATTTATTTATAGCTGTTTTTCTCTTTTTATTTCGTTCATTTTTCTCGTTCATTTCGATTTTCGTTTTTTCTTTTCTATTATTTCTCTGATGCTTATAATCACTTGTTATTTGCTTTCATAATTTTCGTTCCTTATTCTCGTACAGTAACGTTAAGTAGCATAACTGAGAGCTTACTGGAAGTTTTCTGTATGTTACAATACTTCAGTTTTTTTTTTATTCTTCAAAGTTTATTATATTTCAATAGTCAGCAGAATCAGTTGTAGAAAAAACAAGAGAGAGAGAGCGTAATATTGTTTTCTTTTCTGTTCTGTCAATTCCATCATTAATATTACGTAAAATAAGAATATCGATTTTTTAACATAAATACCTATCGTTCGAAAAAAAAAGAAAATCTTATTTTTTTTGTAAAAATGACGCTCAAAATTCGATAATAGTGTGTTGATGATTATATTTGATGTGCCAGAGGTTTTCTGCAATCACATGACTAGTAGTGATTCAATTGTAAATTTGATGGCACCAATAATGTTATTTACAAAAACGAACGAATATTTGTCTAGATTGATTTCTACGCATAGATGCAAAACGGAGACATCGTTATCGAGCAGATAGAAATTTAATACAAAATGTAGGTTTGGATGTTTTCAAATGTTTATGCATGGAAGATGGCTCATTTTTCATAAAATAATCGTGATGATTAAAATCTGGGAACCGTTGTGTGCTACTTATATCTTCTAGGAATGGGATACGAATTCAATATTCAAAGTCTAATTTTTATATTCAATAAATTTCCGACTAGAGAATATCACGGATGTTTAGCATGCACCCTGTAGCATCCAGTGAGTGAGCGTTGATTTTTAGTCAAAGTCAAGCAAGTGACATACCCTCAGGTATTAGTTCAAACATCGGTGAAGTTCAATGCGGGCGAATTAGTTTCATTATGAAGATGAAGAAGAATAGAGACGAAAATACTTCACAATAATATTATTATTTTATCAGTAGAGATCTATTTATCGCGAATTAATATGTCATTTCTGGTGAAACTATATGATTGAATAGCTTGTTGATGAATCATTTGTTTTGTTTCCTAGGATCGTACTGTGTTCGTTAGTTCGGATAGCTAATCGTTCACTTCGTTAGGATTTCAATTTGAAAACGAAAAACTGCAAATTTCTATCTTTCACCGGTGGTAATTTAGTTAAAAATGATTATACACTGGTTTTCTCAATCGTTGTCATCTGCAGAAAAATTTGTAGATTCTGACAATCGTATTATTTTCTGTGTTTACTAGTTAGAGAAAAAGATGCACTCCATGTGGCTTATTAGCAGTTACTGAAAAATACCACTTTCACATATTTAATGAAGAATTTTTATAAAAATAACTACTGCGTAAATGGATTATACTCTTTGTAGAGCGTGTCAACTTCATTAACATCAGAATAATCAATTTCTATGAGTAAATGAAATAAAACAAAAACCAGGGTTCTATTTCTCTCTTCTCAAGAAAAACTGTTTTTAGCTCCAATCTTTATCAAGAATTACTGAAAAGTTAAATTTCTTCTCCTAAAATTTACAACCTATGAAATAGTATACATAGTATTTAGAAAATTGTCTCCACCTAATGCATTATTATTCTAAAAAACTGGTTTATATTAGTCGGCCAATATGACCTGGTAGAGGATAACAAGTTTACAAACATCTGTTGTGATACAAATAGATTTCTTTCATAAGCGACACATATTTCTAGAGGCATATTTTACACACAGAAAAAAAGTAGCTTCTATTCAATTAAAAATGCATGCTAATGTTTTCACAATGAAGCCTTTGTGTGGAACATTAAGAAGGCGTACCGTATCAAAACAAATGAATACATTCGTGCCTTTTGTTTTTACATCATAAAAAAAATCATTTAACAGCCTTTTGCATTATTCCTTGTAGAGATAGAATTTAGCTATTGTCGTTGCATTTCAATACGCGTAAGCCATTGGGTGAGACTTATTCGTAATTCTATTAACCTGATAAGGTGGATATTCTTAATCTATTCTTCAGAAGAGGCTCAAATTATTCCATTCATAATACTTTGATAAATGAATTGTTATGACATGAATTTAGCTTTATTTTTATCTCGTCTTCGACAAAAAAAAATCGATGAAATCTATTAATGAAATATCCAAACATAAACAAACTTTCGATTTTGGTGTTTTTTGATTTGAACCATTAAGTTCACTATGGTCACAAAACTCCACAGGAGTAAAAGGGTTAATAATGAAACAAAAAAAAAGAAGAATAAGCAACAAGAATAGGAATATAATAATAACAAATAATCCACTACACCATTTTGAGCAAAGATATACAGAAGAAAATATATAGACTGTTGGCTTTTGTATATATACAAATTATTCATTATTGCCAACGAGTCCTTCCGCGTTGTTCATAATTTGATGATAGCCAATGATTTTGCTGATACTGTGGAGTATAATTTGATGATGATGATGGCGGTTGTTGAGGAGGATAATAGCCTGTCGGTGGACGAATGAGTGCTGGTGTAGATGTTGCTGATTGTGGATAATTATTTGACGGTGCTGATGATGTTTTTAATTTCTGTTGTTGTGGTTGTTTGTTATCATTTGACTCCGGATTTTTTCGTTTGTTTGCTGTTGACGATGAGTTATTTAATAGAAGTATTTGTTGCTCAAGTTTACTTTTTTCTCTTGCTTGATGCTCAATTAATGTCATGTTTTTTGATGGAATGATTTGTGTTTGATTTAAATCGTCCATATCAATTAGTAATGTGTCCGATGGCAGTTCTTTTTCGTCATGATACATTTGTACTAGTTGTAAAAAATCTAATTCATGGGTACGTGGCACACGAGCTAATGGTTTTAGTTGCGTTTGTAAATATGGATAGATGCTTAAAATATCATTTAATGGGATATAGGAATGATTACTTGAACAAACGAATGGTACTGTACGATATGTTATATATAGAGAACCACCACGTAATGCCAAAACACTTTTATATTGACGATTTATTTTTGATGTCGGATTGTCTTTGGGTAGAACTTTAACATAGACAAGATTTTTTGTGCCAACGAGTACATGATAAACATTGATTAATGGCGCATTTTCTATAATTTCTTCATTATTTATTTTGCATTCACGTATCATACAATTCATTAATGTGACGTCAGCCAGTGTTGCACGCGTTAATATCGGACGTAATTCTTCAGCTTCGAGTATTTTACAAGACACAAGGACTTGATAGGGTACAAGACGTTGACGATGTTTCATTATAAATGGAAGAAAAACATTATTGATTTGTACCCAACCACTACCATCGACTTTAGCATGATATAATGTATTTGGACACAGTTCAGGTGGAATAACAAGACTAGTTGGATTTGATGTTGTTGATGATGGCGGAGTAGGATACGATGAATTCGTATCTAAATGAATAAAAAACAAACAACAATAGTAAACAAATATATATTTATTTTGAAAATAAATAGTACTTGGTGGCGATATCAGATTAGGTTTGACTTGAACATTTGATGGTAATCGAGTAGCAAGATCAACTGACGTTTGCGGTGTATTATGACCATTGATTTGTGTTGATGTGTTGGAAGTTTTGTTCGATTGTACTGAAGATACAGGAGATATTGTTGAAGGTGCCGGAGGTCTAGAGAGTATAGGTTTCACTGGGCTCGTTTTTGATATTGTCGGCTGCGATAGAAATGGCATCATAGTTTTTGCCGATGGCGGTAAAACATAGGAAGAATGAATACTCGGTATAGACGGAATTGCAGTTTTTTTTCCTGGAACTAAACGAGTATTATTCGTAGAATTTGCATGTGCACGAGCATAGTCTTGAGCACGACGAATGAAATCAATCAGTTCATCATATTCCATTAACTGATCGCTCGCAGTTGAAATTCGTAAATGTAATGTATTATTGAGATGAAAATCTAGTATTCTTTGCATTAGTTCAACTTCATAGGAAGTTATTGTGTAAGCACGAGGTGATGGTGTGATATTGTAAAAATAGGGTGCCAATTGTTTCCATCGTTCGCATTGTCCTAAAACTTGTTCGACGTAACGTTTGACAACATAACGATCAAGACCATAAGTGCCGGGACTAAACGAATAAAATATCATCAGAAAACTGAAATATAATTTTGAAAATTCTACACAAGTCATTTTTCTCATATCATATATTCCAGAAATATCTTACATGTTATTGCTTATCATAAAATTTGAATTATTAGTCATTTCTAGAAGCTATGAAGTTAACAACGAAGTAACAACAATAGTATCTTGTCTGCTAGGATTTTATTACATTACTGTAGGGTTCATTTTCTACATACCGGAAAATAACAGCAAATGGTTGATTCTCCCATTGCTCCCATCCGAATTGTTTGAAACGGCTAGGTTCATCCGTTAGATCACTTGAACGATGCATTCACCTATTTTTTGTGAAGATATATAATTTCATTTACAAAATGAAGAGAACAAATACTAACAATTGACTTACTGTTTTATTTTTTTCCTAAAAATTTTTACAGTTATATTTGAAAAATCATATTGTATGCAGCAAATTCATAGTAATTACGACACTGTCTTGTTCAGTTTATTTGTTAAGGTGTTTAGTAAAAACACCATGCGATTTCTCAATCTGTAAAAAATATCGATTTTATGTATTGTTCTGTCCTCTTTTTTTACCAATTGCGTACAAATAACAGGTTGGTATAAAAGTTCAGAGTTGCATTAAAGGGTGGAGACAACCAATCTCTATGATCGTTCGTAAAGCACAACGAACAATTTTTTGTAGGATCGATTCTATTGGTGTGACATGACATTTCCGAAGTTGTTTATGCACTTACTATAGATGGCGTCAAAAAAGCCTATTCAGCATTTGCTCGATGAGTCCACCTATAGTGAAGTGTTCATATAGAAACGCTCATTAGCTGTTGTTATCTAAAAAGCCGCTAGTTTGAAATGATTTAAGAGTTTTACCAGTAATTAACTAATTTTCATGTTAAATTGGTATTTTTCTGTCTAAATGAATGATTATAACTATTAAACAAATAGATTCTGCTTCGTTTATATAATGAAGCATAGTAGATATAGTACTATAATTCCTGTGATTGGCATAGCTCACTGATTGATGATTGCTACTTTGTCGAAATCAGTTTTCAATAACGTTGAAGAGCATATAACTACAGAGTCAATGTAGCGGCTACCTGATTTCTAATAGTTCAATATTGAAATACGTTTTGTTGAACGTAAGCCCTTTTTCAGGTGAAAACAAATTTTGAATTAAAGGTTGGGCCACTTTTTTGGGTACATAGCATGACATTTGTTGCATGTAGAATCGTTAAATCATTCGGTGCTATGTGATGAAGTGCCATTTCTTATAGGAAGTTGCACTGATCATAATCATAAAGATCCTATACAGGCTGTGCTAGTCTACAGAGTTCTTATTTCCTAGGTAGCCTTTATCTCATATTACCAATCGATACGAGAAAAAGAAAGAGGGTTATGTGATATTGCATATCTATGGTAAATACTGGAAAAGATCACTGAGTTTCGTTATTAACAAAGTAAAAATCTTTAAAGGTTAGACAGTTATCAATAATCCTATAGATCCTGCATCTCTTCTACACTGAAAATAACTAATTCCATAAGAAAATCTATATATTTTTCCAAGTTCCACGACTTAAGTTCTATCTAAATTACCATATATAATTCTTCATCTCAAGCCCCGATGATGTAATATTTGCCTAACTAAACTCTGAGCCTATACCAAAATCTTTAGTTCAATAACTAATATCTTGTTTTTATATACAAATCCTTATAACTACATTGACATCTTCAGATCGAAACCTTTATACTCACACCTACAATGTAATATAGGTATGTATGTAGGCTTAATCCTTTATTTTTCATGCTAAATATCTCATTACTATAACTATTTTATTATTTGCAGAGTTAAAATACAGTATCAATTCTGAAACCCTTGTTCCTTTATCCAATCTGCTGTGCGTATGTCTACGCAGTTATTAGTAGGACTAATCTGTGTTCGTTGATGTCTCATCTCCTTTATACATATGCACATCGTTCTATCACAAGGCTTATGAGTGATATTAATATTTTTGTTAGTAAATCTATACACGCTTGTTGATGTAGATTATCTCTCTCACGTAAACATCCATTTCTCTCTGTTTATTACATTAAAAAGCGAACAAAGATTTGACTCTTTCAGCGAGCATAAGTGCAAAGAAAAGGAGTGAGACAAACCTAAAAGGCGGAAAAGTTTTTCACTGAATAATGTGTATGTTATACAAATAAAATTTTAGCAAATGTGATGCATCGATGTATTTAAACAATAGGCATTGGAAGATATATAGTAAAGCTATAGGTGCAGTTTTTGTTTCGACAACTGTTGCTACGCGTGTAAACGGAGATGGTGGCTAAAAAAACACTCGCCGATCGTTGTTTACTTTAAATAAAACTACTTCTCTTAGATTTTAGTCCTTCACCAATTTTGATAACATCTTTCACTACAATTACACAAAATCTATTTAAACATTAGTAATGAAGTTTATGACAGATTGATAAATAAGTGATGGACAGGCGAACTATTTTCTAAAACTCAATAAGGCATTTACTTTCTTGAGGAGCAATTGTAGGGTGGAACGTATTTATCAACATCAGTGATTGACAGAAATTTCGAAGGATTGGAAATCACTGTTCTCTTTCGTTGTAATTTACATATGATATTTTAAGGGAAAATAAATATGTTGAAGTCTCTCTTTCTGAGGCTATGATGTCCTGCTATTGTGTTTTATCAAACTCAGATATCTAGTGCACATTAGCACCATCTACAGCGCGAATTATCGAATGAATAAAACAATTGCGAATGAAACTACTTCCCAACTCTGCTTGCTTCTGCCATGTCTATGAGCCGAGATATCGTGTTTGTAGGTAGGGAATCACGAATTCATCCTAAATTTTGATTAAAAACAATCAACATGTCATCTACAAATATCAATTCAACATTAAATTTTACGTCTTCAACTGTAACTTCACCACCTTTACCCAGTGTCTTCGAATTACTTGCACAGGAGCGTTTGACTGAATTAGTACGCCCTTGTCTTCGACAGGTTCTTAAGTTTTTACATGAAATTCGCCCAGTATCTAATTTACTTCGGATGCTTTATAAATATAAAGATGAATTTATATTGATTATTGAGAGTATCATTCAATGGCTTTATCTAAATTCTTATTCAGCATTAATCGGTGAACATTTTTATGGATTGAGAAGAACAGCTAACAATCGATTACGTTCACTCATTCTTTCTGTATTCTTACCATATGTTAAACTCAAACTTGATTTATTACATGAACAAATGTCTACGAATAGGAATAATCGTAATGCTGCATTTTATATGATGCTTCAAATTTTACCTAAAATACAAGTGATTATCATTTTTTAAATGAATCCTCTGCAGTGATAAAAGTTACATCTTTTTTTCTGTCTTTTTGAAAAGGTTTTTATCGAAGGTGTTTGTTGGTTATATCGATTAAGTTACGCTTTCGGTCGTATTGAATATTATAGTCCAGCCCTTCAATTAGCCGGTGTTAAACTAACCTATGCCAAAGATCCATCACCAGTCATACCACCTTCAACTTCTTCCAGTCGCTTTTTTTCCGTTGTCAGTCAAGTTATATCTAGTGGTTTATTTCTTGTTCAATTTGTTGAATGGTGGAATAATACAAATGGCGGAAAACAAAACTCAACCAGTGCAACTGTTTGTCCACCATTACCAACTACTGTTCGAACACCGTCGGCAATTGGTAAACGCCAATGTCCTCTATGTCGACAGCCATGTAATATACCAACAGCACTGCTCGGTTCAGGTTTTGTTTATTGTCATAAATGTATCACTGAGTACGTTAATCGTTATCATCGATGTCCAACAACACATCAACCAGTAACAATCGATCAGTTGATTAAAATTTATTAAAATTATTGTATTTCAAGACGATTTTTTTGTGATTTTCTTTGGTGTCATTTTTTTTTATTGCGGACTGATTAGTAGTTTTTTTTCTTGTTTTTGTAGATTGGTATCGAAATGTCATACCCGTTTTCAGATCATACCAACGCATCAGAACTTTTTATAATAACATTTCTTTACATTCTTATTGCATTTATTATTATTCTACCACCAAGCGAACTTATAACAGCTGGCTTTTCTATCGAGAATATTTTCTCTTATTTTCTTGTTGAAAGCGAAGAAATATCTTTCATACGATACCATATAAAACGTATTTCAATTAAATGTCTCGTTCATAGTTTTCTACCGTTTGGTTATGTACTAGTATTACTCTATTACTGTGATTGGTCTTCAGGTGGTACTAATGTTCCTATCGATCTTTTTACACAAACTTCAATAGTTTTTCGACTTATTCTTTACATTTGTCTTCTTATTCCCATTGTAACATCATTGATTGTTTTACAATGGCATTTAAACGATTGTCGTATGCACCCTATTATTCGACAATTACGATTATTTATTCAAACAAACAGTCAACAACCAGAACAAACATGGCATACAGTTGAATCATCGATAAATACTGAATTCCGTCGGTACGATAAATTTACGTGTGGTACCGCAACATCAAATGTTCGTTGCTATGTACTTGATTCATGGATATTAAAGTGTTCCCTGTATCATGTTAATATAGCTCAACAATCAAATGTACGTGTCGAATTGGTTGCTGCACATGATATACATTTACAAGAGACAAATGAAGAAGTATCGTTATCGACACAATATCTTAATCTAGTTGTTAAAAGCTATCTTGATGGTGTTAAACCATTCTATATTAGGTAAGAGAAATAAAACAAATATTCGAAGCCTGTTGATACCGACAAGAGCAAGAACACGAGAATTTCTCTCGCTGATGATTTGCATATCATTATTCTATTGTAATAAATGACTTATAGAGTGAGCACGTGCGCAACTGTTGAATTATTTCGAGAGTTGAAATCACAGTGGCCAGATCGAAAGTTGAAAAATCAGAGTTTTATCCGTAAGATCATTTTTTGGGAATTAGTGACTTCTGTATAAGATGCGGGCATTACCTATTCCACTGCTTTTATATCATTGACTGGTATTTCATTTCCAAAGATTTGTCACTATAAAGATGAATATTCATCAATCGATAACAAATATTTACGAAAAACTTCTGTTTTTTTTCTTTATATGTCGAAATGATATTGCCACATGGCTAATTAATTTACTTCGATTTGTTTCTCTACACAATCAAATTCAACCATATTAATATCATCCAATAGATAATTTTGTTTCTATTTGTGGAATGTTCAATTAGATAAGATTCTCGAAATCAAGAAAAGAAATTTATCAAATTCTAGTGCATTGTTGTAGCTGAACTTGCCTATATAAGTCAGAAATTACCAACGGATAACTGAGAAAAACAAGGTGCCGTCATATACATCTATAATAGCAATGTGTTATAATTGTACTGAACTGCACTAGCAAAACTGGGATCGGAAATAGTTTCGAATTCGGAAAAAAATCAGAAGAAATTCAGAAAGGACTTCAAATTTCAGAAATTTTCCCTACTTTTCTGAAGATTTGGTTGAAATCGTCGAAGAAAGTTTTAGACCAATTCAGGTTGAAACTATTTCGAAACCGAGGAGTTCACGAAGCCTTTTCAAGTCATAGAGTTCATCGTATAATTTCAAGATTGAGTTTGTCAATGCGTCACGACGTTCTGATTGCGAAAACATTATAAACAGTAACTAATGAAATTTAAAGAATAAAAAATTTGCATTTACATTTCAAAATGAAATTATTTCTCCTTCTTTCTTTTAAAGAATTGCATAGTATCTTACTATTGAAAAATTAAGTAACATGGAAAACTTTCTGAAATCAGTCGAATCGGACCGGATGTGGTACTTTCTCTACTAAGTAGTACCTACTGTAAACCGGCCGTTTTAACAACTTCCACGCATAAATTTCAGTTTCCTTATGCACATCTGTTCTTGAGGAATTCAGGAGATGTACAATGAGTTGTTTCAATTGAAATATCGTACGTACTTTTCTACGAATGTTTTCAGAGAATTCCATGCGGAGTTTTCCGCAGACAAATCCTAATCTTCTGCTACATTCTTATAGCAAATTATAATGAGAAAACACTACAAGGTTTTTCTATTTTGACGCAACTATTAGTTTTTGTACTTCTTTCTCTTTCACAATGAAATATTACGCCATTTTACATAAAGGAAAATTTCAATGTGTGCAGCTGAGTAGAACAAAGAAGTGCAACTAGTGCCTTTCAAATAGAAAAAAAAAACATTTCGTCATAATTTGACTAATTATTTTTTTTCTCTTTGCGTAAACATATGAATCGATTGGCATAAATAAATGAAGCAAATTAGGTTTTTTCCAGATATTTCAAATATCTATCACTGAATTTAGATTGCGAGCAAGTGAATATGATGATTTACGAAGTAAACTCCAAACACATATAGAAAATGTAAAAAATATTGTCGTACGTCAATCTCTAAGTGATCTATTTGTGGACGATTTTCGACAACATGTAATGAGAAATCCAAAATATCGATTGCCAGTAACTCATCAAGTACGATATCAACGTTTTCTTTTCTAATATTTTAATAATTTCGTTTTTCTTTTGATCTTAGGATCTCGATACATGTATTGGCTGTTTACAAACTAACGCTAACGTAAAATTAGTCAAAAATTGTGATGCACCGAATGTTGGTCAATGTAAAACATGTTTTTGTCGACCCATGTGGTGCCTTGAATGTTTAGGTAAATGGTTTGCTAGTAGACAAGATCAAGCAAGACCTGAAACATGGCTTCAATCAACATGCCCATGTCCATCGTGCCGTGCGACTTTTTGCATACTCGATATATCTATAATTGAGTTTTGAACAGACTAGAAATCTCAAGCTATTTTAAAATTTATACATAAATTATTTTTCTTGGTTGTTGTACTCTTATTTTAAAATACAAATATTCCTGCACGCTTAATTCTTGTTATTCTCATTGTCTCATTTGCAAATATCAAGGGTTCATTTCTCTTTGTTGGTATTAAAATTCGTGTCCTCATTTTCATGCTGATCGACACAACAGTCACGATCATAATATAAACATGCGTGATCTAGTTTTTAGCCACTGTTGTTAAACAAATAGAAAAACAAAACAGAAGAAAATATTTCAAAACAATACTTTCATAAACACTTGAGAAATCAGTTTTTCAAGATCGATTCAATGATATTTGTATGTGTATGTATGTTTACTACTCAATGGTTTCATTTTGATAAAAAGTCAGTATATTATGAAAAAAAGAAGAAAAAAAAGAACTGAGAGCATTCGTTGCCGACGACATTAATTATAAGTATAAGAAGAAGAAAAAAATTAAAGTACAACAGAAAGAAAAACAGGTTGCTATTGATAGTAGTTTAGGATAGAAGAGAGTCTGACCCGTACGTGGCATGCAAACGAGAAAGAGAGAGAGAGTGAGAAACAAGCAAAGGGTTGATGTTTGAATGTTATGATGACGAATGAAAAACGTTGATTTTGTTTGATCTTTTTTTTTATTCTTATTTATACTACCTATTAAAATCATCATTCACCATCAGTACAGAGTGAGTGCGTTACCTGGTAAGATTTTTTGTCAAAAGAGAAAAAAGCATTAAATATTTTATTTTTTTGCTTCTGTTTGCTATTTAGAAGTGAATTTAAAAAAAATATTTTCATAACTCAAAATATCAATTGTTATCCATCGAAAACATACGATACATTCTTTTAACAGCATCCATTAAAGTATGAGTACTTTAATAGCAAACCGTGCTCAATCGGCTTATCCTCGGCCATCGTATCAAACCGAAACAAATAATCAAGATGTTAATATTAAAAAACGTCCTACAACTAGTGTAAATCCTCATCAACCATTTACGGATATATTCGAAGAAGCTGCTCTAAGAACTCTTGGGTCAGCGACTCTTGCACCGCCAGCAAGTCGTCATCGTCAACGACCAAAAACTGGTAGTATTGCTAATGCAAGAACAGTTACACGACCAACATCACGGAAATTGCGTACAAATGAAGTTGAAAGTCTACTACGAAGTCTCGAACGTGAGGACGCATTCATCGTCCAAGTTGACTGTTTAGCTGATTATAGAACACTTGTAGAAACCATTGATTTACGTAGAACACCACTTGATTGTCAATTATTATGTGCTTTACAACAACGTGAAAATTGTATTGTCCAACAAAATGCTTGTCGAGACACACGTTTTCGTTCATTACTCGACATACTTGAGCGACCACATGTAGCCGGAGCTGATGCACAAGCCCAACCGACCAATGACAATCAGAGTAGCTTGTCGGACTATCCGCCCAGTGATTTTCCGTACGAATATATAAAATAAACTATTTTTGAAGTTCTATTAAACTTTCTTTTTTTTTTTATATTAATTTCATCAAAATATTTTCTTTTTTAAAAAGCGAATTCATACAGCATTTTTTTAAATGGCTATTATCGATTTTTAAAGAAGTATCATTGGATGTATGACTGATAATAAATATCATAAGAAAATCTACGATTCTATATCAGCCGCAATTTCTTGCTTTTAAAATTGATCAATGGATGAAAAACAAACTCTTGTGCGGTATAATTACAAAGTGTTAATCGTATACGAGTTTCAACATTGCTTACGGCATCATTTTTTTATTTCTCAAAACCATACGGTTATTGTGAGAGAATTTTTCTAAAATATAAATATTAAAATAAATGCATTTTCAAATGAAGATTTCCTGAGTAGTTTATTTTTCTTCTTCTTAGGTTTCCATTTCAATGCATTTGCTCACTATGGCTATAAGAAATAGACGAATAAAACAATTCTCTGTATCCATAGCATAACACTAACATCATTATTGTAACATATCTTTAATTAAATCATAGAATCTATTTATCGAATGTCTCTACTAGTGATTGACCATACACAGTTGAGAATAGTAGAAGCCATTCAATGGAGATTAGAAAAAGATACTACATTGTATTTTATTTTTATTCTTTCTTAAGAATATGATTGTGCGTCATAGAAAATGATTAAATTTCGCATACCTAAAAATATCTACCTATTAGAACAGGTCATTGTTGTGCATGCGGCCACTTTTCATAAATTATATTATACAGAATATTTCTCTAACAGAAAAAAACAAATCTGTCAAACATTCATAAATTCGAAACTCAATGTGAACAGACGAGACACAGATTAATTTTATAGTGTCAAATTGTTTTCTTTTGTTTTTGTTTGAGAAAGAAAAAACTTATTATACTCATTTTCTGTTGATTATATTTGCAATTGTTTTGTTCCTAACTTATACTGTCTACTGAATATGAACTGAAAAGTTCACAATTATTGCTTATTTTGATCTGATAACATTGACTTTCGCCTATGAATATAAAGGATTAGCTATGTGCATTGAATCTCGATGGTTTTTACTATTGATGAAATCATTATTCAAAACACCATCGACTCCATTCACTTGCTATACTTAGTTTCCGACGATGATATAAATCTTAATTTGAATCCGTCTGTATTAGCATCAGAGTCATCATAGTCATTGACACAATTACGTCAGTTCATGTTCGAAACAAAATTATTGATACAAAGATTGCTCATAAGTCAAAAGAAATAGAAACGTATATTCATTTAACTATTTTATTTTATACGTAATGTAAAATATAGTATGAGGATATCTGTCAGTCAGCGCCATCTGATCACACACATTGTAAGAAGCAGCATTGATGAAGCGAAAAGGCACACTGAATCATCGACTCACGTGTTCGAGTGCAGACGATAAAAAAATTTGCGAAAGTCTAGTAGTTCTTTAAAACAAACGCTGTTTGCTTTTAGATTACTGTATTAATAATCGACAATGATAACATTACATCGAATTGCTGTTCTTACTTGTCGACATGCGCGTTCGAGTATGGTCAGTCGACCGATTCATATCGAACCTAAAGCAAATGAAAAACTTATTCCTTTATCAAAATTTGATTTAAGTAAACCATTGATCGGACGAACTAGTGGTATGTGTTTAAGAAAGATCAGGTTATTGATTTCATTGCATTGGAATCGTCAATACACACGTTTTGCTGGATATTTTAGCTGAACATACTGCTATTGCACTTCTTAGTCCAGACATGCCACCCGATGGCGAACTACTTAAAGTAGCTATTATCGGAGCACCTAACGCTGGAAAAAGTACATTTGTCAATCGTCTCATGGGTTGGAGGGTAAGATCAATGAACAGATGATTTTATTTAATCAAAATCTATTTTAGATTGTAATTAAAAAAAGTTTCTATTTAGATATCATCTGTATCGAAACGGCCACATACAACTCGACATCGGATTACAGGAGTTTTAACCGATGCAAATAAACAAATTGTAAGAAATATTCTCTCGCAATGAAGGATTCTCTTTAATTATTGAGTACTGTAGGTTTTTCTCGATACACCTGGTTTTGTTGCACCATGGAGAAAAAAACGGTAAATCAATGTCAAATGAATTCTATTTAATTCTATTATACTTATAGACATAATCTCGAAAAATCAATGATACTCGATCCTCATTCATGTTTATGGGATGCAGATTTAAGTAGGTTAAAAAAATTATTTCTTTAATTAATTATTCGCTTTTCTATTAGTTTGTGTTGTACATGATGTTGGTAATCATTGGCTTCGTTTTAAACTTGATGAAGAAATATTAAAATGTCTCTATGCTCATCCAGAGAAAGAAGCTATACTTATTCTAAATAAAGTAAGAAGTTTTATATTGAATGGCCAATAAAATAAATTCATACCTTTTCAGGTTGATTCGATAAAACGTAAGCGAATGTTACTTGATATAACAACAATTCTTACCGATGGTTCACTCAATGGTGTTCCATATCGTCTTGATTCACCATATCATCGTAATGGTGAACTTGATATGGAACGTTTATTTCTTAAAACAGCTCATGAAATGAATATACCATTGCCAAAAACAGAAAACGATGTTAAACGAGAGCTGCTTCTAGCCGATATGAGAGAATATGAAAAGAAACTGTTAGATATTCAATTGGAAAATGTTAATCTTGATTTAGAAGAAAATCAAGTTAATGAATTAATATCTCAACATCAAGAAAAACGATTAACATTAGATAAACTTTCAGATGAAGTATCGTCTCATGTTCCTTATACATCAATGAAAGATATTAATCCATTTGAATTTAAAAAAGATGTAATGGAAACAACCAATTGGCATTTATATTATAAGAAACTATCACAAATTCGTTTGTTTACAAGAGATCGTTCGACGTGGCCATTTTTTAATCAAGTTTTTATGATTTCAGCCAAACAAAATCGAGGCATAGCAGCCATTCGAGTTAGTTGCTTATCTTTGAACACAACCATGAACGCCATGTTATGAATGATTTTTTCTTTCTTTCTTTAGAAATATCTTTTCTCACGTACAAAATCAGAACCATGGATGTTTCATCGAAATTTTGTAACCGATCAATATCCACAAGAAATAGCAGAAATGTGTATACGTGAACAAATGCTAGAATATTTACCAGAAGAAATTCCATATAGTTATTTGATGGTAAGTTTTCGAAATCAGAAAATAATAGTTTGTAAAGTATAAGATCATTTGTCGACCAGATGAAATTGTTTTTCGTTGTTAATTAGAAGTGGCTAGGGCGTATGTATTTTTATTGCGACAGAAATTGCACCAAGTGATATTCGAGAATTCGTTTTTTTTTGGATAGTTTTCGGACATTGTCATAGGGAGTTGAGAAGGAACTACAGCAAAATAAACTCTTGGAATATAATCTGAAAGTGTCACTAAGTTGATTCTATAGAGTAAGAAACCGAAATTTGGGCTGAGACGCCTGCATCCTTTGATTAGTTAAATTTCCGTATGGCATTATTCATATCGATCAGGGCCTCGCCTTTTATTCTCAAAGGAAGTTTATGTATCGATTTATACAATAAGATATGTATATATATATATATATATATATATATATATTTTGTTTTTGTATTCTTTTTAGACTAATGATCGATGGGAACTAGATGAAAATGATGTTCTCAATATGACGTTTATAATTTATCCTCGAGCAAAACAATTGAAACGTGATGTTGTATGTAGAATTTTCCTTCTGTTTGGGTCGAATTTTCATTCTAATTTAATTTTAGAGTGTATTATTGAAAAACCATGGCGAAGCAATTAAATTGATCAGCATGGAAGCTGAAAAAGCTCTCGCAACAACATTTCGTTGTGAAGTTAAATTGAAATTAATTGTGAAAATTTCTCATGAATAAAGAGAAAACAAAAAGCCCGTTGCTTATCTAATTAAACGTACAATAGTAAATTGTTGGAGCAAAATATCAATCTTTATATCGCATTATAAGAAAATATATTCTGAGGAAATCTACTATCACATCAGTGGGTCGAACTTTCATCTATGAAATGGGTCATGGAAAAATAAATTCTAGTATTTGCATGATGTTTTGTAAAAGTTCTTGCAAACACTATCAGAAGAATCTCAACTCATTTGGACGAATATAAATTATCTATCGTGCGAATAAGGAAAGCCTTTATCATCAAGCACATGTTTTTGAAGGAACATCAAGTTGACTTTGTGTTCCTTTACTATATTGTATTGTATGATGTTTCAATTGTTTTGCCATATTTTAGATGACTCAACACGATATTGATCTTTATTATAGAACAATACTTGATGGCATAGGTACAGCTGGCAAAGTATGTTGTTTTGCCCTACTGTGATATTTCACTGGGAAAATGCTTTTGTTTTAGCTTGTACGCGAAGGTTTTACAGCAACAAAACAAGTTACAACCAAAGAAGGTGCAGCTGATCTTCTAACAGAATATGATCAACGTGTAGAAGAGATCTTAATAAATCGATTACGGGAAAGCTTTCCTACACATAAGTTAGTAAAAATCATAGGGGAACATTTTTATTTTTAATCGAATTGAAATTAACTTAAGATTTATTGGAGAAGAATCTACTGCATTGGGAATTAAATCATCATTTACTGATGATCCAACATGGATTATTGATCCAATCGATGGAACAACGAATTTCGTTCATGGGTAAAACACGAATAGTATAATTTTCATAGTTTACGATCTGCTGTTTTTCTTTATGATCAGATTTCCGTTTATCGCTATTTCGGTAGCTCTTGCAATTAGTAAACAAGTTGTTCTTGGTATTGTTTATAATCCAATAACGGATCAGCTTTATTCAGCTATTCGTGGCAGAGGAGCATTTAGAAATGGTCAAATTATTAAATGTTCCGGACAAAAAAGTTAGTATTCATTTTGCTTATTATAGAGCATTACTAATTATATATTTACAAATAATTTTCTAGTTTAAAATTAAAATAAAGAAAGGTACGCGAATGAAACAAAAAAAGCAACATTTTTACTGATTTTATAATAGCCTTGAATACGTTTGCATGAATTTCATCCATAGAAATAATTTATTTCGTATAATTTATAGATCTTTCTCTATCTCAAATATTGGGTGAATATGGTCCAAATCGTGATCCTGCTATCCTTGACACCAAATGCAAAATTTTAGAAACTATCATAGGGAAAGTTCATAGGTAAAATTAAAAAAACAAAAATCTGGAAGTTATTATTGTTGTTCGTATTTTAGTATTCGAGCTATGGGTAGTGCAGCTTTGAATTTATGTTTAGTAGCTGAAGGTAGCTGTGATGCTTATTTCGAATATGGTGTACATATTTGGGATTATGGTAAGTAGAAAAGAAAAGGATTTCAATATTATGTCTTTTACTCAACATAATTGTTTTAATAGCTGCTGGTGATTTAATAGCTCGAGAAGCTGGTGCTTATACTTGTGATCCGTCAGGTAAAATTAATTAGTTTATTGATAAATTAAATATATATTTTTTTCTTAGGTGCTCCATTAAACCTCATTGATCGTCGTGTTTTATGCGCCGCTACAAAAGAACTTGCTGAACAGATTTCTCCTCTACTGATTCAAATTGATTATCCTCACGATTAAAACTATGATACTTTCACTTTTAATAATTAAATCAAATTAGAAACAGATGATTTGTTTTCAAATTAATAAATCTTTGCTATTTTAGATGATAAAATCGTATCTTATTTTTGCTATTATCAGCATCACTATCAGCTTTGTCGTAAGTGATTCATGTGAAGCTCAATCCAACGGAACCTGTAAATCATGTTTGGCTGTATCAGGCTGCGCGTTTTGTAATGATAACAAGATATGTTTTCACTACAAGATTAGCGACATTAATCTTCCTTGTGACATATCTGAGTTGCTAGTAGAAACATGTATTGGTAAGTAAAATCAGATCTCCTTTTTTTTGTGCGCGATAATATAATGAAACGATGTGTATATTTAGCAACAATTAAAACATGGATTATTGTTATTAGTGTCGTTGGTGGTGTCCTTTTAATTTGTATAGTAGCTGGCGTTTGCTGTATTTGCAGAAAATGTAAAGCACATTCAATGGCATCGTAAGCTGATGATAAAAATCGAATCAATGAACATAGTTTTGACTATGCATTTTTTTTTAGAGAAAGAAAAAGAGATGTTGAAAATGATCAACGCATGGAAGAACGACGAGTTGCAGCTGAAATTCGGTATGTAGTTGAACTATCGGGATAGACCTTTCTGAGATATCGACAGGCATTATCGATGCACGACCGAAGTTACATCATCTTTTTTTTCATTATAATCCTCCGTCGATTATTCTAATAGATTTTATTAAATGAAAATTTAATTTGAATGATTTTCTTTAGCTCGGCTGAACGATTGCGAGCAGCTGATGCAGTTCGTATGAAATATGGTAAGTAAAGATTTTTGTGTTTTAAAAGCAATATTTTTTATGTGTTTCTTTATTTCTAGGTTTACTGAAAGAAAAATATGGTGGGAATGACTACGAGCGTATGAGTTAAAGAAGAGAATATGTTGGATATTAATTGCATAAAAGCAGATCGAATTCGATTGTATTTATATATCTATTTTCCAAACAGTAAAAATTATTCAATACTTTCATTGATTTTCTTGATAAATGTTTTTTTTTCTGTGATTCATTTTTCCTTTTGCAATATTTGTTTTCTATGTTGATTTTTATATTCTAATTAAAGCAATAAATAAAACCAAGACAATTAATTTTGAAAACTGTTTTTTTTTGTTTATTTTAAAGATGATTCTCCCTTCAGTTCATTTTATTGTTAAACAATTTCATAGCCAATGGCGTTCATCATTATTTCGTAGCATAGCTGTTATTAACCAACGAAATTTAGCAACATCGGCACAAGAAAACAAAACTTCGAAATCTAAACAACATAATACTCTTGTTGAATCAAAAACGGCAGATACTCATGGTGAAGTAGCGACATTTACAGAAAAAGGTAGATCATCGTTCTGACAAAATGCTTTTTATTAGAGTTCTCTATCGTTCTAGCTCAACAAGCTGCTAAAGATACTGGCTATTCTCTTGTTGTGGTTGCTGGTGTTGCAGCATTGGGTGGCTTGTGTTATTTAGTTTTACATGAACTCTATTCAAGAGAAACGCCGAATGGAATTTATAAAGAAGCGTCGAAAATGTGTTTAGCTAATACTGACGTACATATCTATACATAATGACAAACTTGAAGTTTCACATGATATATTATTTTGCATAGGTACAAGATGCATTAGGTACACCAATTATGGTTCATACAACACCAAAAATAGGTTCAACGCGAATCAATAATGTTCGGTAAGGAAATTTTTGGATAGTAATTTTGAGAACTGAATTCTTTACCAATCAATGTAAATTTCATAAAGAGCAATGCAAGTCTGATATATCGATTTTAAATCAATGATAGAGACTTTTCTTTATCGATCTATCGTTTTTTTACTGTTCGGTTAATTTTATTTCTTCTCTTTGCTTTTCAAAGTGCTCAAATGTTCGACAAAAAAGGTCATCGAAGTATGACACTTGCATTTTATTTAACGGGCAAAGAACGATCTGGTGTTGTTGCTGTTACAGTACAAAAAGTAATGATCGAATTTTGCTTTTTCTTCTTATCCGATTAAATCATTTTTGCCTTCCTGTAGAATATCTCAAATAAATTTGTCTATGATTATATTATTGTACAACTTGATCGACCATGGCGTGGTCGAAATATAATTCAAGTTCATAAAAACCTTGATCCAGCAAAAACAACACCTCAAGCACTCGATATTTGAACACACACGCAAAAACAACACCTCAAGCACTCGATATTTGAACACACACACAAAAACAACACTTTTTTGTGTAAATAGTTATTTTTTAAAAATATGTTCTTGATTCGCTAGCTGCTCTTAATAGCACGGTCTAACAGTTGTTACCATAGTTCTTTCTGTGCGAGCATCTTGATCAACATAACTATTATGTACACCGCCCATACGAGTTGGGATTCTCTTGCTACCTGAACGATGTCGATGATCAATCATTGGTGTAATTGATACTGTTTTTGGCAGACAATATTTACGATAAGTGAATATTATAATAGCGAGAAGAATAATCAACAATGATAATCCAACGAGTGCACATAGAATATAAAGAATAAATGAAAGGAGTGTAAAACGAGGAGTTAATGATTCTTCGAGAGAAGAAGTAGGTGATGTATCATTGAATTTCCAACGAAAGCGAACAAATGAACGACGTAATAATGAAGAATTATCGATTTTGAAATACGATCGGATAGGCCATGATCGTGTTGCTAGAAGCGAAGGGTCAATTTTACGTGTAGTAGTTGTTCGAACTAAACAGAAATGAAATATTGATCGATACAGACGAAATCTTTATCTATTGACGAACCGATTGGACAATTTTCAATTAGAATATCATCAATAGCAAACCAAGTTGTAGAGTCAGTTCTCTCGTCTGGTGAATGTCTGATTTCAATTTCAATCTAAAATAAAGAAAATATCATATTAATTACTTTTTTCTGAGTGAAATAATTTTTTGTACTCGAAATTCTTCAGCTGCTTTGAATGAAACATTTGCTTGTTGCCAAAATGATCCAATATCACCGGAGGAATTATAAGTCCTAGAGTTTAAAGCTGGCCATAGACCTACGGATGCTGCTTGCGTTTCATCTTTTTTAGTGAGAAAAACTTCAATTTCATCTTGTTCATTTTCAATATTAAATTGAAACGATAGTCGAACATTGAACGAACATGATGAAGTTAGATATAACCATGGCGATGTAATGACATCTGTAAAACCTTGTTCTTTATCTTTATTACTTCCATCAACAGCCATTAAAACTAAAGTATACTTTTGTTTTTGTAATAAAATATTTTCAGCTTAAAATTCTTTTCGATGTACCTATATCATTTGTTTCATCATCAAGATTTCTTATTTGCCATCGTCGACCAAGATTCCATGTACACGTACCCGAAGAAAATGTACATTTTTGATTATATTGTACAGAAGACACATTTATGACCAGTAAAACAATTATATACAAAATCAAACCTTATAAAAAAAATCAACAATCAATAGGTCTAGTTTAAATATTCGAGGGAAGCAAAATTCATACATATTCTCATTGCTCACTTGCGAACAGATTTATGAAATAGTTCAATGTTCTAACAAATCGACTAAATATAAAATATCCTTTTGTGTACACAATCGAGCCGATCATGATCATCAATCGTTCTCTATTGACAAGCGGATCATACAATTAAGTAACTAGTTCGGCTTTACAGCATAATTTTCATTATGTTGATGCGGTGAAATCAAAAATAAACAAATCGATTCTAAACAAGTGTCTGAAATTACTCAACATTTGAACAGTAAAAGAAAACAAATAGTTAACACGAATTTATTTTCTTGCTTATCCTATGACATACGAGAGTAAACTAGAAGACTACAATCGAATCGGTCAATAAGCATGCGGAGCACTCTCAAACACATAAATATTATTTGCTGCTTGACTGCCTTAACCCTAGATAAACTTTTTGTTAGCTATTTGTTTATGATTATCGATCGAGAAGGTCTTCTTCTTTTTTTCCTCTATGAATACTGTTCTATTAATTATTGATACACTGAATTCGACGTTTATATAACTTACAGTAAAGCGCATAGGTATTTTTGCTCAATGGAAAATCACCTCCGTTTATTTTGTAACATTCACAAATGTGAAGAAGTTAAAAAGCTCGAGTTTCGATAGAATTAGATTCAAAAGGTTAAATATTTTTCTGATATATATGCATAGTATAATATTCGTTTATTTTCTATCGTAGAAGTCTCTGCATTTATCACAGCCTCTTGTGCTTCTATTGATTATTTACAGCCATTCACACATGGCATACAGTAGGACAGTAATCTTGCATTTTTTTAGAAAATTTCATATTAAATATTTCTGTTCTACTACAGGATTTTCTTGAAAAATATCCATCAGGTGTTCTTGATAATAAAACATTTATTGAATATTGTCAAATGTTACATCTTAATACAGAAATATAAAGTTCACTCGCGTATATTTAATAATTTCTTCATTTCTTTTCAATATAATAATAATATTGAGGCAAAATTTTAATATGATTGATGCTAATAAAGATGAACTGATTGATTTCAATGAACTGTTAATTGCAATAGTTCTCGCCAGTCGTTTACAAGATGTAGAAGCACGACTTGGTATTGTGTTTGATACGTAAGTTAAAGAATTTTAATAATAATCTTTAAAATTAATTTTTATTTTGCAGATGGGATCTCTCATGTGATGGAAAAATCAATCAAGCAGAACTAGTTCATGTTATAACGGCTATAGTTAGTTGCCTTTTTTGTGAATTTTTATTTAAAAAAACATCATATTTTTATTTAGTATGATTGCAGCGGAGTTACCAATTGAAAAGGTGACCGAGATCCGAAAAGACGAGCTAAAGAAATAATTGAAAAACTCGATAGTAGTGGCGATAGACAAATTAGTAAACAAGAGTTTATTGCCGGGTACGATTTTCTACAGCATTCTGTCTCGCAAAAAATTGTGAAGTCGACTACTGTTTTTCTGCTTTGTAGATGCAAAAATGATTCGATTACTCGTGATCTACTTTCTTCTCATATTTAAATATTCGTAAAATTTTCTTTTATTGCATTCAATTTCAAGTAAAGAAACACGAATTCAATTACTATCTATCTTTGCTTTTATTATCTTATAATGCATAGTAGACATTTAATGATTAACATGAAATTCGTTTTATCAGTTTTTTAATTTTTTTATAGAAATTTTGAATCGATGTTTTGATATATAAGCCAGGTCGAATAGTGTTTAAGTCAAATACTATTGATTCATAATAGTTTATGCATTTATTATGCTGGTTTTTTTCTTATAAGAAGAAATATCGAATAATTTCTATTATGTATTAATTTAGTTTCGGCTCAGTTTAAGCATAGACTTATGTTCTATATGACAAGGCAGACTTGTTTTCTTCATGTGTAGGAAAAAATTTACCCCTAAGCCTTTTCATGGGTAGAAGAAGAGAAATCTTTCAAACGACTTTTCAAGGTTGTGCTTTAGAGAAATACAAAGCTAACCACAATTTATGACCTATTATGCACGGTGTGCTGGAAAATTTCACTGCGAGATAGACTTTCTCTTAGATGGTAAGACAAACAGGAAATATCCTTTCTCTAGTTTGACTATAATACATCAACATAGGTAGTGAATGGCTAATGCTAGATTTAATTATTGACAAAGGAATTGATTTTTTCAGTCGTCGACGACTACTTCCATTCATTCTTCGTAGTTTGTCGATTAGATCGATATTCGAAAACAACATTTTTGTTTGAAGAAATACACAGAAAAGGTATGTCTTTGCAGATCGGCATCTTTTAAAATTGAAGCGAAATTTTTTAAATATCATTCAATGATCTTGAGTAGTTTATTCATGAAATTATGTGGCAGTATAGTAGTAGTAGCTGATTAAATCATCTTCAAAGGAAAAAAGAGCAAATAAAATTACAAATCTAGTGAAGCATTGTATTATAAGATTGATATTGACTCAAAGAATATCGCATATTTAATGACACAACGAATTTTGAGGTTATTCTGAAGCAGACTTATTTTAGAATTGTCATCAGCTTTTAAACATGGCATTGTCTATACACACTCTATTCATAATGAAATTACTTTAGTCTTCTGATCTTTCTATGAAAAAAATAAGCTTTAGTTGGATTTGAAGCGTCTAGACATTTTATAATCCATGGTACCAGTTTAGTTTTTACAGCAATAGTTTCAAATTCGTAGGCATGATCGATGGAGATGGAAAAACACGAGAGATTATTTGAAGATATCGATTGAAGATTTGACATATTCTCGAAGCATCTTCGCCTTATCGGTAGAACAATTGAATTTTTGATCGATGCCTATCTATCTTTCATTGACTTGCCAAAGATTAGAATAGTGGTTGATTTCTGTTTTGACGAAAACATGAGAGCTATTTTTTATATCAATCACAGAAATATAACTTTCTTTAACAGGCAGCTGCTATCGAGTTCTTAGGAACAATAGAAGGTAACTCCCTTGGGTACGTTGTTACTATGTGTTGTTGATTGAAATTTATTTTTCTTTCGATTCGGTACTCATAATCGAGTGACAAATACTCTTGTTGCTCATAATAAATATATTCGTTTGAAATTACCTGGTTATAATAGAAGGAAAAAAATAAGTATGCTAAAAATAATTACTACGAAACTTCAGTACTTACCAACACCGTGTTGACTTTTCCATATTTACATCGGTCTCCATGCATATTTTATTTGAATTCATTGAGGAGTAGGTACATCAGAGACGTTGAGATTGTTTTTTATTTCACAAACGGTAAATGCAAGAGAGATTCAATTTTCACCATTGTATAATTTGGTTGATGCCTAGTCGATATTTGTATATTTTAAGCTTTTGATTATTTTTTTCAAAATAGCAAAAGAAACTCATTCAGTTAGTCTTTCGAAAGCAATAGTTGAAATTGTAATAAAACTGTATCTTCAATATTATATAAAATACTAAATAACCAATTTCAGTGGAAATAATGCGTGAAAATTTATTTTAATAAAGACTATTTTTCCAGACCAAAAATGCTGGTGGCAATGCTCAACGATTTAGGAAAATCAAGGTTGCCTGTTTTTAAAGACGAAAGAACATTTCCTGTTGCCTGTAAAAAAATATATGTTGACATTCTCATCTAGAAAAATTAGAATATATAATAACCCAAATAGATTCAACAAAGAGAACACGGTAAAGCTCGTAGAAATAGAGTCATTATTATTTTGTAACGACACATCGTGTTGTTAAACTTTGAATTTCGACATGTTCTATCTTTTGAGTTCGCAATTTTACGAAACATGATCTAGTAATTTGGGATCCGTCAAAGTTTTGATTTATATTGATACAACTTAATATGGTCGATCGTATTAGCGAGTTTAATATAGTCTTAACTCAGGAATTTCTATCGCTATACGAGCTTAGTTTCTGAGAAGATAATTTGTATATTTTGGGGTTTTTCTAAATTGATAATTATTTAGATTACACAGAAAGGTTAGTTTTTATACTCTAACTTTGTTTTTCTTATGAAAACTTTGAAAAACTGTTCTAACTCTTAAAAAAGCGACATTCCATTTCCCTACGTCACTGAACACTCTCAGTAAATCGATTGAAACTGCCTGTTTATTGATATAAATAGATCAGAAGCTGTGAATCTGCGAACATACATCAGATTTCTCTAGCGTTAGTATTTATCGAATAGGAAAGAAAATGAAATGATTTAACAAAGTATTTTAGTATTCATTGTATGTAGAAGTGTTTGACAACATTTTACAAGTGATAAACAATTACTTTCACTTTTCAATACATGTGTTTACGAAAACAAATCAGAAGTCACTACACTGAAACGTTTCATAATAATAAATGAATAGCTCGAGCAATTGATGCAAACGTTTCTTTTCTTCCTTCTATTTTTTGTTTCATTCAATCACCACGTATACCATTGTTTTGAATATTTTGGCAAATTTCAATTGCATTCAAAACCGGAAATAGACGTTCTTTTTCTTGTCACTCAGTAAAATAAATACTCACATTTTCTTCAATCAAATTTTGCTCCTGGCAACACTGATCATGTAAATAGTTTCTAAAATCAATCTGAAACAAAGAAAAAAACAACCTTCAAGGCAATGAATTTTAATATTTATTGTTTCTCTCGTATTTGTCTTCAACACGCGTATTATTTTAGATGCTATTGTGTGAAACATATTTTTCAATTAAAATAAAAAAGAATTTCGTTTATTTTCTTTTTATTTCAGTATAAATTTATTCTTTGTGCTTATTTTTTCAACGATCATTTGTTTTTCAAGTGACTGCGTGAAGGAACTACAATGTATCGTGGTCATCCGAACGTAGTTCCTGTTGCTAGTAAATATCTTGCACACAAAGAATATATTCAAGATCAAGAGGAGCATAAACAAAATGTAGGACTCGTTTTTTTGTTTTCTTCTCTATAATCATTGCTTTATTATTGTTATCAATAGATTAAAAATGCACAAGGTTTAATAGATCAATCGAGTCCTCCTGAACGAGCACATTGTTATCAACGTATTAGACAAAGAAAGGTACATTTGGGTCAAATTAATTGTATTCGTAATTTTAATTATAGATTAAAGAATATGAATTAGAAATCATTGAACGTGAGAATGCTCGTCTACGTACAAAAATGTTGCAAAACGGAGCCTTTGTTCAATCGCATAATAATTACGAGACACATAGGTATTTTTGTTGTTGCCCCTTTTTCTCGATCGATAAATTTTATTTTCTTGTTTGATTGATTTAGTTTAAATAATGAAAAAAGACATCGCGATGATGAACAGCACAAAACGGAAATTGCACGACTTCAAAAACAAATAACTCATGCTCGAACAAATTATCCGAGTCGAAAATATCAAAACGATTACACTAAACAACAAGATTTACTACAACGAATAAGCAAATTTCCACCGAATAATAAATAAATATCTCTCTTCGATTTTTATACATAATCAATATTGTTTTTGAATAAATTATTAAATGGTGAAAATTAAAAAATTAATTTTTTTCCCCATAATATCATTTTACTTTAGATCACGGGTTTATCTTACTTGCGAATAAAAGCCACTGAAAACAAAATTTATTTAAAAATAGGTCTTAAGATCACATGGTGATTACAAGTTTTTTTCTGCAATTCGAATCCGATATTCTATTTTATTGTTTGGAACTGAATTATTGACAATTTTCTGTCAGTGACTTTTCACATTGTTTTGAAACCATAACTGTATGAATAATTAAAACGGAGCACAATCCATCTGCATATTTCAATATGTATATCTAATATGATAATTTTTATGAGAAAGGCAAACGAAAGTTATTATTATCCTAGTAGTCCATTTAGCTCCATCTGATTGTTATATTTCGCAAAAAAGCAGATAGTACTCATTGCAAAAGGAACTCCGCCATTTCAAAAAAACTTATACTTATATCCCTTTTTTGTCAGCCTTTATTTTGTTGCATATTGCTTCTCAATGATTGGAAGTTGTTAAACTGAAATAAAAAGTATCAGTCCTGTAATTATTTGTACTGAAGAAGAAAATCTCGACAAGTCACATTGACATATCTTGCATTCGCATTCTCGCATGCGCATATTTTCAATTTCTCTCTGTTATTAGCAAGGACATCTTGTACATTCTATAAGTCTATTATTTCAGAAAACTTCTGAAAGGATTTGAAACAATGAGAGTTTGCTCAAGGGTAATAAGCATCTCACAAGATGCCTAGTTCGAATTCGAATATAAATGGACACCCAACTGCTTGGTATCAATTCGAAAATAAGTGATGCAAATAGATTTAGTTTTAGATGGAGTGGGTGTGGGTTGAGAGCGACTAATTGGAACTGTGGGTGGCGGTGTGAGTGAGGCGGAGGAGTAGTAGGATTACCCAGTGTGCTTTAAATGTGGTTGTGGGTGATGCATACCATGGAGGAGTGCTCAAATGGGGGTGCACGTGAAGGATATATATGTATTCATATGTCGCCTATATCGAAAAGTTAAACTAAAACTAAATCTAGGAATAGATTTAGTTTTAGTTTAACTTTTTCTTTTCTCCATTTATATTTGAACTCGAATTAGGCAGCTACTCCAAAATTTCAACCCTCAAGTTCCTGCCGAGTTTTTTATTGTTTCTTTCAAGGAGTTAAATTTATCTGTAATTTTTGTTTTTTTTATTTCATGAATATTATATAGTAACTTTGTTTGAATTAATCAACGAATCATTATTTTTCAATTTCTATTTTATATGAGCGTAATATTACACAAGATTTTAATTCAATTTTAATAAAGTAATACATATAGAAGTTTCGTAATGTAAAATGATTTTATTTTGACATATAATGGAAATTTTCGATCTTAGGCGATCATTTTTAATCTCGTCAAGTAGAAATTCATGCATGAGTTATACAAAAGTAGATATATAGGTTTATGGAATAAATTTCATTGTCATTTCATCGAGTTATCTTAAATTGCAATAAATTTATAAGTGAAAAGCAAGTTTATATTGTTCATATTTATGCTATTTTGTTTTTGATGTTGAAAATATGAGTACACATAGTCAATAAATACATCATTGTCTGTACTTTTGTTTTGATTTTTTGTCATCTTTTTTTTGTCTTGTTAACATCTGTTTAAAATTTTTGGTATAAGGTTGAAAATGATCGCATAAGATCGAAAATTTCCATTATATGTTAAAATAAAATCATTTTACATTAAGAAACTTCTACATGTATATTTTTATTAAAATCAATTTCTATTGTAGAAAAAAGCAAAAGATTCATTTTACTTGTGAATCAAACCATATTACATTCTCTCAGGAAGATGCTGAACGCAGATTCAACATAAATGATAATCAGGGTTGCCACCTGATGAAGTCCAAAAAGCGGAAAACTGATCTTAAAAAGCGGAAAATAGCGGAAAGAAAAACAGAAACAGCGGGGGAAAAGCGGAAGCTTATATTGTTGCAGATTTGTGGTGCTTCTGAGAATATTAGGCTTTTTTTTCATATTTATCAGATTTCTTTTTATTTCATCAAAGTTTCAAAACATAAAAGAATGCTGGCTTACGGTATTTGTGAACAATAAGAATTGATTCAATAATATCAAATATTATTCTATACGTAGATTTGATATGCAACACGTTTTATACGAAAAAGCGGAACAGCGGAAAAAAATTGAAAAAGCGGAAGAGATGGCAACCCTGATGATAATCCCTACATTTAATTAATTATATAAAGCGCGTAGGACAGTTCTGCCTTCGGTCTTTTGAGCTAATATATCAATCAAGTTCTAAACATATTGTCATCATTTGATATTTTTATTCAAAAATATTTCAACACATATACATCACAAAACAATGCTACAATAAACAGTTGTTTTTTATGAGATTAAAATAATAATAACATTTTTTGTTATTTTTTAAATTCAAGAATTTTACTGATTGATTTTACAACATTTTCATAGAATTTATGTTCAAATGGTATCGTACTATTATCGAAGGTGAAAACAAGCTTCTCTGATTGAAGTATTGTTTGAATTATAGTATTAAAATGAAGAATAGTATGAACTTCACCAAATCGATGTCTAAATAGAGATGTAAAACGTTATAATAAGCAAATTTTTACATTTCATTTTTAATATAATAAAAAGCCAGCTTTTTTTGTATACATTTTCTATTACAGATTAACTCAATCAAACACTAATCTTTGATAGCTAAGCAGTTTGAAGAAAAAAAACGTTTGCTTACATCATAGATTTCCACATAAGTTCAACATAGATATTTTGCTTTCTATGAAGTATCTGCGAGTGATAGTATTCATCTAACTGTTGACTAATTGCTATATCATTGTAGTCGATGTTGTGTGCTAAGAAAGCAAGTATAACAAGAATAAGCTTTATTAAATATGGATCGGCCAATGAAATACGTCCGATTTGATATTTTACTTGTTGATGTAAATATATCGTTGAAGATGAAAGGATAAATTCCACTGATCCTTGCCAATAAGGTGTTTCAAGAATAGTTTGCATCGGTTTAAGATTCATTTGATAGTGCGTATAGAACATCGTAAATGATCGTGCATTACGCATGAGTAATGCTTGTTTATTTGAATCAGGCAATGAAATAAATTCCGGAATAGTTTCAATAAACTTTAATCCCGTGTCAGTTAATGTGTTTGTTATATCATAAATATATGAAGCTTTGGCTCGCATTTTTAGTGGTTGAATTCCGATCGATAACAATCGTTGATGAAGCTTATTAGCTTGTGCTGCAATGTGATAGTTAAGAGAATCAAAATCGACTGATAATTTATTTAATAATAACCAATCATTTTGTGATAATTGAAAACAATGAGGCGATTGAAAATGATCCGGAGATCGTATAGTCTAAAAATAAAAATCAGATATTTTTGAATTCTAATAGGAAAATACCTTACAGAAGAATTTGTTGGTACTATGAATTGATTATTTGATGGTTTTTCATATGATTGAGATTCTAATCTTAATTCTTCACCATGTTGTTGTTGTTTATCAACTTCGAACCATTGAAAATTATCATTTTCTTTTATACGAAACAATTCTCTTTTCATTCCAACTCGAAAACAAGTAAGAAGTCTGCAATATGTACAACATTTTCGTGTCTGCTGATTTATTTCACAGCTGCCTCCCGCACGACAATATAAATCGTTCAAACTCGTGAATGCATTACGACGAAAAAATATTTTACAGCTCATACAAGTTATTGCACCAAAATTATAGCCACGTGCCATGGATCCACATACGACGCATATTAACCGTTTTCTTCCTGTCGTAGAATCCGGAAATATATAATAAGATGTTGTTGAAAGTCTCTAATAATATAAAAAAAGCGATTGAAGAAAAATTCATTTACAATACGCCATTAAAATTACCCGACAGTATGATGAGATAGTTGCCATTGTTAATAATTACCTTTCTAGAAAGAATTATAGTGTAAAAATGAATAGATGAAGCGTATTTAAAAGAAGCATTAGGCTAGAAAAATAACTACTTTTCGTTCTCTAGTAATTTTTCTATATATATTTTTAGCTCAAAAGAAAGATAAATCAAGCTTATCAAATATTTTCAATTGGTACTGTAATTTATCAAGCTAAATGTTTTCTGTCATAACATATTTTTGATGATGTCACTGAAACGAAGAAATTTATCAATACAAAAGAGATATGTCCCGTCGAGAGGTTATCCAATTCAAATTCTGTCTTTCTAGGTAGTCCACTGAGAATATTGTCTAATAACAGTTAAAAATTCTATTTAGATAGAAAATGAACAGCTGCACGAAGTAACAATTTACTTAACAAACCTTTCTATTGTATGAAAGTGGAATTGGGCACATGCGAAGCTCTTACATCTTAAATTCAAAGTTTAATTGCAGACGAAGTAGAGGATTCATTTGAACTTTTCAAACAAAAAGAAGAAGAAGAAGAAGAAGAAGAAGAAGTAATTACACGTTTTGTTGTAGATTAAAAAAGGAGTAAAGTACGTTATCGTTTTTTTTTCTAAATCAAAAATGAAATTGTTTTCCTTAAAATGATCATTTTTAATCTTGCCTAAAATTACAAAATTCTACGGATGATGTAATCAGACATGTCTGTCTGTCTACTAGAGTTGAAGTGTTTTTTGAGAAACAACCTGTTGTTTTATTTCTGTTGCAATTAATTTCAGTCTATTGATAATTGTCTATTATACATGAAGGTAACCCTTGAACACGGAAGAGTTTTTTCAATTTCGATTATAATAAGGCAGTTTTTCAAAATTCTACTTTTGTTAGCTGGTTTGGAAAATTTTTCTTTTAGTCGATGGTCTATCAATTAGTAACTAAGAGCAACTATTCAACGCTATAAACCACAAGAAGGAAATTTTATTTCGAAATATTAGTTGTTATTTTGAATAATACCCACTTAACTTTGATGAAAATTTTTCACATCGAAACGTTTTGGCTGCATACTAAGAAAGGATCACAAAGCAAACAAGATCACTTCTTCAATTACTTCTATTCATTTATCACACTGAAGCGAAGTTTTTTCTTACATATAAAAGAAAAAAAAGAGTGACAAACAAAACCGGGCTAAATGGGTACATTTCTTGTGTTTGTTTTTATTCTACTTTTGTACCCGTCTATGATATGATAGGCAGCAATGAGGTTCTTAATTTGTTTTTTCATGAATAAGATACAAAAAACAGACGAAGAAAAAAATAATACATTGAGTAGACTAATCTTTTTTTTCATATATAAGATCACTGATCCGATCATGAAATACTTCATGCGAGAATTTTCTCTATCTGGATCAAAACATATTTAGGTTTATTGAGAACATAAACAAACTTTGCACTAACATGTCTCGAATTGCAATCAAATCTTTGTTTGTGTTTTATAATTACGAGTTTAAAGTTATAAACTTTTTAACGATAGATTTAATGAAATAGAAATTAGCTTGAAACAATTAAAACGCTGATGATCATCGATTTCAATTATAAAATGTCAATTAAAAGAGAAGAGGTATTTTTGATTATTTTGTGAATTCGTTTTCAAAAAAGTTCGAAAACATTATGATTCAATAGGGAGCAATTAATTACGAACACGTTAAAAATTTTATTCGATATAAAATTGCATGTATACAATCAAATCGATCCCATATTTATTTATTAGATACAGTCATTCATGGTTTTTCTCCGATCTTTCATGGACTCTTTAAATAGCATAACATGTAAGGGAAGTTAGTGATAGATTCGAGTTTTTCCTGGAACGATTCACCCCATCAATCGTCCCTTTTGTTCATTTGTTGACCATAGCGTGTCTGACACGCTATGGTCAACAAATGAACAAATGGCATAATTGATGGGACGAATCATTCCAGGAAGCTGTCGAATTTTTCGCTAACTTTCCGTACATTAAACAGCCTACACTAGACGACGATCTTGACTTCGATCTGTCCAGATTCTTGCTTTTCTTGAACATCAGACAAGATTCTTTTGCCATTCCTTCTGTACAAGATTCTTGCTTGAAGAAACAGATCTTGTCTTTCTGGCAGGATTCTTGTGTTCTTGTATTCTTGCATTTCTCGAAGAATTCTATTATTTTTTTGCAATCCTTACAGGATTCTCGTTTCTTGCTTTCTTACCATTTTGACAAATCCTTGTAATAAAATGGATTTCCTTTAGGCATCCATACGGTTCCCTCCTTTCGGTACTATGATATTTTAAGTTCGAATTAAAAAAATACACAAAAAGCACATTACACGTACAACCAAATATAGAATAAGTTCATATCGCTTACAAAAAAAAATACAGAAAAAAATCATTGAACAAAACTCTATATTGAAAAAATGCGTCTGTTACAGTTCGCCAGCATCATCTTCATTATCATCTAGAAAGAAAAAGATATAACGTTGAAGCTTCTGTATATTTATAGGTTTATATACAACGACATCAAGTGATATTTTCCTTGAAGACATGATACAAATCGTTGAAAGGAAAAGAAAAAAGAAACTTGCCTGAATTTCAAAAAGTCTTGAATATCTTGCCATTCTTGTCTGAGTCTTATTTATCTGATCAATCAGACTAGATTGTGCTTTTCTTGAATAACATGCAAGAGTCTGAAGACAAGCTCGTCGACTAGTGCGTATATCTTAAATAAAATTGTATTTCTATGTGCGTCAGAGAAAAGAAATAAGACTTTCTCATTTAATTTAATTTCAAATATGTTTCACGGTTACTCTACAATGTATTTTTTCAGTTGAATAAACATCCTAGGCATTGCGAGTAATGAAGAAGGCGTGCTAAATCTTTATCGAATAACTTCATTAAACTTTATATAGTCATTTAATTATATTTTACTATTATTAAACTGCTGTCAATAAAAATATGATGCTGTAATTTCGTATTGGTTGACGATGCTTAGTCTTCTATGCAAGAAAAATTGTTTGAAAAATATTTGAACCGTTCAAAAGAGAAAATATTTAAACAAATCTTCTGACGCTTGAATTACTAATTTTATATGAATAAGAAAAAAAAATACAAAATCTTATGGGACACTTTATTGGCATGAAGGTACTGACAAAAATCGCTGAAAATCTTGATTAAAATATTTCCTATGTCAAAACAAAACATTAAGCAAATGAAAATGTCATATTTCCATTATACTTCTAAAGATATCATTTTGTATTTCATAAAATTTACATGCATGATAACTTTCATCTGATTGCTATGATATTGTCGTCTCGTATGTTGCGTTAAGAAAGTAAGCATAGAAAAGTAAATAATCTAAGTAAATATGGGTCAAATAATAAGATACGATTGATATGGCATTTCATTGCAGTATTCATATACACACAATTCAGAGTAAAAGAACAATGTCTGAAGAAGATTTTCAATATATCGGTGTTTTACATTCACTTGAAAAGGATCAAAAGAACATTTCTAAAAATTGTATCATCCAGACATGTTTATTAAAAATGATGCGTTTAACAAATTTCAATGTAGTATCGGTAAGATTTTTCATCATATCGCAAATGTACCAAGCCTCTAATTCTATTTTATAAGTTGAATTCTGATGCATTATAATTATTGAAGATCGTCTGATAATTAAAAATAAGTTTTTGTCCGTCATGACTTAAATGAAGCATTAGAATTTTCAGACGTGATATGTGACAAAAGATGTACTCATAGTTCTCGGAAGTCAACAAAATATGTAAAAACTATTTTTTATTGCTCTAATGAACAGAACTGAAGACTAAGACTCCTGTACTAATTGATTAGTGTACAAGTAAAGTTAATAAATTTTAATTAAATTTTGAAAAAATAGAAAGTATAGAAAAAAACAAGGATTCAGCAGTGAGTATACTATCGGCAAGTAGGTAACCTTGCCCTAGGATATGTAATTTTCATTTGTTGATTTGTTCGTACGTTCAATCTTAGGCACAGCCGAGTAGTCGTTTTCTATGATATTATGGACTCAAAAATTCATAATAAAATTTGTTTTAAACACATCTAAGAAGATAAAAATTGACAGAATGTTACCATTTTGTCTTCTTCTATGGACTCGTAACCTCGAAAGAAGATATCGATAACTATCTTTGATTGTAAACCAAACAATTTTAACATCACATCAGCAAAATAAAAACAAAGTAATAAGCATCGATGTTCTCAAGCTAATATAAATTGCTACCGCATTCATTTCTTAAAAGATTACAGACAAAATGCTCTTTTCTATAGATTCCTGTTGAACCATTTTTTCACATGCGCTCATCAAGGCTTATAAAAATGATCCAAACTGGCGTGCCACTTCTATTGGCTACTCTATAACCTAATTGTTTAATGGAGTTAACATCTATTAGATCGGTACCTAGAACATTTGTTTCAAAAACAATGCGTCGAACAATAATTTTGATCATGATATCATCATCTTGATTTTTGAATAAACTTTGTCATTTTAACGTTTACTGATGCATCATATCGTATAGAAAAAATTGAGGCATACAAACCTCACAACATGTCTATTACGTTTCTTTTGTAATAGTGAAAAGATAATTCAAACAAAAAATTTTCCTTTCTTATTATTATCCCAAGCAGATATAATTAACTTAATTATGTCTTACATAAGCAAGATCTTTATCAATTGTGTGTTATTGTTTTCAAGTAAATCTGTCATTAAGAATATCATTTGACCTTTCTTGTCCATTGCACAGATTTTGTGAAACATTAAAAAGAAAGTTCATTTTTTATACAATTATAATAATATTGATTTTATTATTGTTTTGTTATAATTCGTCTTATCTTGAAATCTGAATGCCATGCATAAAACTGCATGTACGCAAAACATAAAAGAAGCTTAGTTAATAGTGCCTTAGTTACTAAGTTGTCAACGGACCAAAAAAATCTCTATCGATATCAAAATGAAAGT